AGTTAATGTCACGTAGTCAGAGTGGGCTGTGCTTTGAACCAGCGTCTGGTCTGGCCTCATAAACCAATGTAGAGCAGTGGTGCTTCTGCATGTGGTGCAGAGAGCCAGCTGGTGGTTCTTTGGACCACATTGTTGTGTCTTATGGACTCCGTTCTGGACTGCTTTTGGAGAAAGTCGCAAGGCATAAGAAATGTCCATCAGTGAAGGTAAGGAAGGGAGCGCTTTGGGGAGGCCTGTGGGAGCAGTACCCCTTCTGATGGCCCATCATGTTTCAGGGAACTTGACTTAGTTTTTTCTTTAAAAAAGACAATCTCTTCCCATTGGAAGATTATCGTTATTTTCCAGAGAGTTAATGTGTAGGCCGCTTGAAATTATCGGCTTCCACACTTGTGCGAAGTAGTGCTGTGGAAGTCATCAAACACTGCACCTCTCAAATGGCCTTTTCTTCCTCTGTAGTAGCAAAGGTGTGTAGCATCTTACCCAAAGGCTCTTCCAGACAGAGCAGGCTATCTGGGCAACTTGGGAATTGGTGGATTAAGACTCAGGTCTGTCACTGAATCGTTCGAGGTGCAGTAAAACAGAGGCCTGTGGTCATAGGTGCTGATGGCAGAGGAGCCTCCTGGTGGCCTGCCAGCTCCTGGCTGCACCCCTGGGAACTGAGCTTCCTGTTACAGACACCTTGTAATAACTTCAACCCACTTAATGCTTTTAGGAATAAACGTTTATTCGTTGCTGGTGTTTGGTATTTAAATAAAGTTGTCTTATGACAAAAGCACAGAGTGGTCTTTTCTTAAAGAGGTTCTGAAAGCTATGTGCCAGAAGAAGTGTGGTGAAAGCGAGGTTAGTGTGTGTATATACAAACCAATAGCTGTAATTCTGTGTAGAATGTCCTGAAAGGAGTTCAGTGGGACGAGATCTAATGAGTGCCATGAGACTCCAAAGGAGTCTTCAGGTCAAATTGGGTTAATTCATCCAGCTTCCACAATTCTTTTTGCATTCTTTCTCAATCTCTAGTGTTGCATTGACTCAGGGAAAGGCAGTGTGTGAGGATGCCTGGGAGGTGTTGTGTAATGCTGCTCCTGGAGCTGTAGCTTCCTCTGTCATCATTTGGGTGACAGAAAGGGCTAAATGAAAGAAAAACACTGTGAGATGAGAGGGGGAAGAAAGATGAACGGGTGTTCTGAAAGGGTGAGTAGAACCTCTGGCGCTTAGAATAACAACCTCCCTGTTGTACTTGTTTGCTACTGTTGTTTTAGAAAGGAATTAAAAAGGGAGAGAGAATTGACTCATGTCAAAAGGACACGGAGGATGTTAGTGGAAAAATGAGGGAGTGTGAGGAACAAACTATTCCCCTTGTGCTGTTCTGCCATTGCCTGTGAAAACTCCTGCTGGCTGGTCTCAGCCTTGCTCACTTGCTGTTCTCAGTTCCATCACTTGCAGTGTAGCTACTATTCATATAATAACCAAGAAGTTACAGCACTTGAGTGGAAAGATTACTATATAGCACTATTTCCTCCCAGCGTAGATGGTATTCTTGTAGCTTAGAACTTCCACAAATCTAGCCCAGTTTCCCCAGTTCAGGCACTGTGTCAGGATTGTGCATCTTGTGAGCTTCCAGATTCAGATCCATCCTTGTGGATCTCTCCACAGTGCAGACTGGTCTGTGCAGCAGTTCCATCCTTGTGGGTAGGTGTTACCTGTGTGCTGTGCAAGCAGAATAAGGAATACATAGGAATAAGGAATACGTAGCCACAGGACTACGTCTTGGTTTCAGGCATGCTGTGGTGTTTTAGCCTACTGCATTGTTTGAGATCTGTGAAGAATGATGACACAACTTGCTATTCACAAACACTTCTTCCTAATAGTCTCCTAATTGTTAGAATATACTGTAGCTCCATCTAAGAATAAACAGCAGTGGAATTTTTACATCGATCGTGGAGAAATTGACTTCTAAAGCCAGATCAGTTTTTTCTTTATTAGCACTAGTGATTAAGTAGTCAGACTCTGCAGTTCCTGTATTGTGTTCATTCTAGGTCATCTTCCATCACATTTAACTGCTTTTCAAGCTGGAAATTGTTATTTAAGCTGGAGAAGTTAAGGAAGACACATGGTCTGGAAGTTCAGCATTCCTCGTCCTCCATCTGTGTGTTTTAAAGAGCTCTGTGAGGAAGGCAGGAGCCCTGTGCTCCCTGGCCTCAGGAGCAGCAGGGTTACAGTCGTGATGCTCTCAGCTCCTCTGTGGTCTCTTGGCCTCAATATGAGTGCATCTCCCCAGAGGCAGGTGGCTGAGAATTTGCTAAGGAACAGGAGCAAAGTACTGCTAGGAACAGGGTTAAGGAAGGAGGGGGGGAAAAAGCTAATTTGTACTGGGAAGCGTATGTAAGGGAAGAGAGTAAGAGCAGCCCATGGACAAAATGCAGGCTGAAGCTAAGCAGAAAATGAACAAAAGCAACAACCTGGTGGGTGTGTGGTGTGGTGCAAGAGGAAATGGAGGCAGTGGGGAGCTAGGTTTGGTGGGAACAGAGTGCAGAACGTTAAACAGAAATGGAGAACTTCTACCAGAAGCCACACTTGCATAATATGGTTGTGACATTGCACAGCCAAAGCAGAACTGCAGTGTTTCAGCAGAGGGGTGGGAGGTGGGGGGTACCTGCAGAATTGTCATTGCACTGGATGCTTGAGGTCATACCTTTCTTTGTTCCTGCTGGGTGCATCCTTTTTGTGAAGAAACCAAAGTGACAGCTGTCCTATCTTAATAAACATTGTTTGAAAGTTAAGGGTTTTTTTTTTTTTTCACAACTATTTCTCACTATTTTGTTTAAATAAATGTAAAGAACCACCCTGTCACGGACTTGGGGTATTATTTCCATTGGAGGTCATGTAGTCGTATACCCAGCTCAGAGCAGGGCCAGCTGTGGAGCTGAGTCAGGTTGCCCAAGGGTCAGTGAGTTGGGAATGTCTCCAAGGGTGGGAGTTTGAGAGTTTTGTTGCACTGTTCAGAATGTTTTATCTTTTATTATGTCACTTGTTTCTCACTATTGTTGTGTGGTTGCTGTTTCATCCACCTCCTCTGCTTCTGTGTAGAACCGTCCAAGAGGAAAAGAAAAAAGAGCTGTGTGAATGTGCACATCTCCCATTTTGTTTACATAATGGCCAAGATCCTGAAACAACCAACAGAGCAGGATCCTGCGAGGATGGTTTCCAGTGAAAGCTCAGGTGTTGCAGTTCAGGTCGCCTTAAGCACCAGAGCCAGACAGCAGAATTGCTTCTTTCCAACTTCACTGACTCTAGTTTTCAGTGTGCTCATCCTAATGTAGCCCCATCTGTGTTTAACAAACCCCAACAAACGAGCCAGCTGTGAGCACGTGTGGCAGTGTAAGAAGGATGACGTGACACCTCTCCCTTGCTGGACACGTCAGGCTCTGTAGGACTTACTGAAGGAAGTGGCTGTGTTCCCTTTTCCATCTTGGAGGCTGTGCTTTCTGTTGTGGATTGGCCATGCGGAGGAAGGGGTGAGGACACACTGCCCTTTATGTGGGGTAGCAAACTTAGATTTGCTTGGTGTTAATTAAGCAGGTACAGCCCAGTGCCTGGGGCTGCTCCTCCCTGCAGTGTTCTGGAGGTGGTGGTAACCTCATAGTAATGTTTCTGCTTACAGCCCCTCTTTTTTCCTTTGCGTTTTGGCTGCAGTTGACTTAGGAAGTGATAACATTTGAGGTCCTTATCTGTGCCTTGCAGGAGGAATGCTAGTGAGCATGTCACTGCCTTCTGAATGCTGGCACAAATGAGGTGGAATTATTAACACTTACATTGGAACAGTTTCTCCTGTTTCTAAGCTTCTCTACAAAACTCTTGAGACCAAGTGGTTTCTTGCAAACCTCATTAAATTCAATAAAAAGTGTGCTGCAGATTTTGTGCATTTTTTTCTTGGACCTAAAGCATACAAAATCCATCCACATCCTGCTGCTCTAAATGTCTTGCCTATTTAAAACCATGGACGTGGCCAGAAAAGTCTCTCTGAAGAGACATTCATGAGTTGCATGGTTTGCCTCCATAGGTTTTTTTGTTTAAGGAACTAGTTAAGTGTTGCCAACAAAGGTGACTTTGTACAGCCAAGCAGTTGTAGGGTTGAGCTTGTAGGACCAGCCTGATAGCTGAAAGTAAGACAGCTTCCTTTTTTGCTTCCTGAGCCATGGTTAGTTAGCAGGCCACAAAGCTGCTGGAATTGCAGTTTAGGTTGCTGGTTGTGAGCTGCAGGCAGCCAAGCAATGCTTTTAGAGATTATCACATAAAATTATTGTTCCTGATGAGCTGTACCTTTTCATAGCTGGTTCACACAGGAGAGCGGTCTTTCATTGCTTTGGTTGCTCACGTGCATTAGGATTCGGTTGGTCTTTGTCTGGAGCTTTGATTTTAGGGTCAGGATGTGTTTGTGTAGAGCTCTGCATCCTGTGTGACTCTCGCTGTCGAGTGGTTGTTTGGATGAGGTGGAAGAGCTCTGAATCCCTGCTGAAGTGACTGTGTATGAGCGAAGCACATCCAGTGTTTAATAGCCTTTTGGACAAATGTACATTTGCCAGTTAATGCTTAAATTTATTTTATTTCTCTTGAGGTAGTAATTGTTCTCGCAGCAGGTGTGGAATGTCGTCAATTATGGGGCTGCTTGTAATGAGTGCTGGTGCACGAGCATTGCTGGTCACCTTGGTGTTTCTGTAGCTTTGCCCACAAGTACCTGGGCAGTAACCACAGTATGGAGGGAGGTCTTTGGGGTGAAGGGACACTGACTTCAGTGTAAAATTAAATTGCTTTTAATAATCTGTACTGAAAGGATTGGATCTCTTACAAAAGAACTGCTTAGTAACTCATGTTTCCATGTAACTCATTTGTGGTGGTGGTTTGCTACCAGTAGCTGCTAAGTTTCTTGTCTAAGCTGCTGGCAGTTTAAGATTGCTGTTCCAACTGAAGGTTTCTGTGTTAAAGTAGCATCTTTTTATTTGCAGTTGCCAATGTGAAGTATTGGAAGAGTAACGCCTGAAACTGTTTGGGGCAAAGAGGACTTTTAGCATCTCTCCTTTGGTAAGCTGATCCCATTGTTCTGGTAAGACAAGCTACCTGTTGGCTGTGACTGATTATTCTGAGTGAAAACATTTTCTAAGATGCTAGATGAGCATATGCGTACTTTGCTGAGTGGGTATTTGCAATGTGCAATTAAAAGAAATAACAACTCCTCTAGTTCTGCTGGATGTCTTCAACTATGATTCTTTGTCTGCCTCTCCTTTGCTGAGTTACTGGTTACTGCACCAGTAAATACTTCACAAAGCTGCTCAGTGACTTGTGTGTGCAGTGCCAGGGCAGAGGTAAGTCCTGCTGTCAGGCATTGAAATGTGGGAAGCAAGCATTTGCCCTTATCTCAGATAATTTTCTTCCTCCTCCTGTGGAAAGGAAGGAGTGTTTCCACTTTGTAAACAGAGGCATCTTTTGCCAAAACCAGGTCACATTCTTGAATATTTCGCCCTCCAATTTTCTAATGCTTCTTTGTCAAAACCTTTGCATTTTCTGTCTGGAGCTTTAGGAGGACAGCAGTGATGCAGAGTAGCTCTGGTTTGGCACTGAGGGTCAACTCCGTTTTGTTTACAGGAAAAGAGATGGAATTCAGTGTCTGGAAGGTGACATCTAGGGAAGAAAGTTACTTGTTTTGTACTATTTTTTTTCTGGTTTTCCTTGCTATACTATGTTAGTCAAACTATATTTAAATGCATGTTGATGTAAATGATCTTTCTTTATTTCATCTTTTTGTTTCGAATTGCTGGCAAACACGTGATTATTGCTGGTGCTAATTATGCATATAATTTAGACCTGAGGCACGTCTTAATCAGAGGTGGTGAAGATGTTCCCATTCTGGTTGGATAATCAGAGGTTGCAGCCTTTACCAATCGTTTGTCCTTTCAAGAGGAGCACGAGGGTGGGGGATTAAGCAGAGCGACCCGTTTGCTGTGATGGGGCTCTCCAGTTCTGCACCGCATACATGGAGAACATCATCAACTGTTTGGGCTGCGAGCTTTAAGTTGTTGTGTCTGACAATAAAAGCAGATCTCACTACACTGTTTATAAAGTAGTACTTGTATGTGATCCTATATGGAATTGGAAGCCTGAATCCAAGGGTGCCTTTGAGGAAATTGTTTTTGTGGTTAGTTAGACATTTCCATTTCATTTTTGGGAATGTCTCCCTTTTGCTCAATGCTGTGATCGTGAGATCAAGAAGTACTGGCGTGGTGTTATTGCATTTAGAATGTTCAGTTTCCATCCAATCAATGAAATCCATTCTCATAAAGCAGTACTCCCTGCTGGTTTTGTCAGCAGTTTTTATAACTGCAGCACTCTGGTTGCTGAAGCTTTGCACCAACACCTCTCAGCAGTGTGAATGTGCAGCCTGTGTTCATCTTACAAACAGCTTTATAAGTTCTTGTGCCATTTATCTTGGCAGCATCACAGTTTATTTCTGATAATCCTGATTAAAGCTGAAACCAACATTTTTTTTCCGCGCTGCCTTCCCAAAATTCACCTCAAAAGGTCTGATTCTGCATGCATGTGAAACCACCATACCATGAATAGAAGCTGTTTTGCAGCTGAGTGCAGTAATTAGAACAAGAACCTTGTTCTGTTGTAATTTGAATAGTCCCTGCCTGTTCGTGATGGACTTCAGGGTCACAGCTGGATGAGGGAGTTCTTTCTCTAAGCTGCCCTGAACACTTACATGGTTGTACAGTTAGCTTCTAAAATAATTGTATCAAATCAAATGGCAGTGTCAAAGAACAGCTTTGTTTACATCAGGGTGTCTAGTATGCTGAACCTTTTCATCAGTGATACTCAGCATACTTTAAATTTGTTATCAAGTTCACCTTTTAATTAGATTCCTATTCCTTTGCTAATTGTACTGGCGGGAATTTCCCGAATTCCTATTTTGTTATGATCAGAAGGCTTTATTGATGGTGCTTAAAGCTTTCTTGTAGTTACACCTCCGCTGTCTGGATGGATCCATCTGGAGATGTGGGTTTTTAATGACTTCACCAATGGCTGCTGTTCTGGAGGAGTCTTCATTGCCCTTCCATCAGGCTGTAGAGCTGAGTGTGTAAGCTTATTATTTTAAGGATGAGAAGGAGATATGTTTCAATCTTAGCTCTAAACCCATCTTCTACATCATTAGTCTGCATTATAGCAAGAGAACGAGCCCTGAAGTTACTGCAATCTTTGCTGTGACTTAGCCACCATCATTTTGTGTCTGATGGAGCAGGAGCCCATTTCTGACAGCTCGGAGCTCAAGGGCAGTGCTGCATCACACAGTGTGAGAGAACCCAAGGCTCAAAGGTGAAGCCAGCTGTGGCTGAGGAGTGGCTCAGCCCCTCCTTTCGCGGAATCTTCGAGTCACGAGTCGCTGTTTTTTTGGGAGATAAGCTTAGCAAAGCATAACATGTGTGAAGAACCACGTCATGTCGGAGCTGAGCACAAACACTTGTTTTGAATGCAGGGGGTGGAATTCTGTGGTCTGTATTAGCTGTGAAAAGGTTGGGATTTTTAAGTCCAACACAAACATAGTTTCACAGTGAATAAATCATTTTACTGTATTGTATACAGCATATTTTTTTATTAAGTGTTATCTCTAACTATTTAAACTCCTTATCTTATTTAGATATCTTATCTTAAGTGTATCTTATTTTAGAACATGTTCACTTCTGAAATGTCCCATAACACCACCTCTTTATTTCCTTGTACTGTAGAGAACATCCAGGGGGTTTCACTGTCTGCTGCTATGATGCAGGATGGACTCCCATCAGGACTCCATCAGGTTTTGCTTATTAGTACCTGGAGCAATACAGTATTAACAGAAGTATTCAAAATGAGAAACTGGAGAGTTCCAGTTTTTTCCACCTATCTCCAACAGGGTTGCTTTGAGTTTTTGTTCAGAGATTTACCAAAGTAGCAGTAATGGCTGCAGGATTGGATACTCCCAGCTTAACACCGTGCCAGAGCCCCGTTCCCAGCTCAGAAACACCTTCTGCAAGCTGTGGAATTCTAAGTGTGGGATTAAGAACCTGTGTGTGAGCCTCTGTGAGTTACTTCTTGGCTACTCTGGGGACATGAAGGCTTTGGGGACACATTTTTCATCCCTTTGAGATTTCTTATTTACACAGTGGGATGTTCTAATTTCGTGCTATGCACATCTGCTGCTCCTTCTCCCTTTGCTAACATTGTGCACAGGGTGCAGGGTGCAGTTAGCACTTCCTGCAGAGCTGTCATGTTGGTGAGCCCATGGGTGCCAAGTGATTTTGTGTCAAATGTTGCACTGGTAACTTCAAATATATTTAGAAGTGGGGCGACGTGAACTGAGAACAGACTGAACTTGCTGAAACATTGAACTCCTTAATCTTTTATTTGATGTAAACAGCCAAAACTTTGAAATACTGTATTAATTCTTTAAACACACAATGAAACAAACCAGAAAAACACTGATAAAAAGAAGCAGACAGATGGGTTAAGTATAAGATGATACAATGTCTATCAGCCTGGAATCTAAAGCTTTCTATCCACAGAGTGAATCCTGTGAGGGCAGAATACAGTTCCAGGTGATCGCACTCTACTGTTAGTATCTATCATCCTGAACACACGAGGAACCATGAAGAAAGGCCAAAAAAGGTGCAACTTAAATTGCTAATTACTAGCAAGTTAACTGATGAAAGAAATGAAACTATGCAGCTAAAGCTTCCACTGATGTAAGCAGCTGAATTGCAATTTTAAAGTTCAAAAATAATTTCAGTGTTTCTTATATGCAGGCCAGACTTGAGAGACGCAGGTAAGGCCCTTGATGCTCCCAGGGATCTAATTGTTTACTGATCCATTGAGCTCTATCAAATTAAGAACACCTTAATAAGCAGTTCCAAAATGAAAAGAACAACTACTAAGAGTCAGACCTGTCTTCCAATTGCTTCTATATATTTTCAGGAGAGCTGTCTTGTCCCACTGGATTATATCAAGAAATTCACAGCAGCCTGATGCCTCCCTGCTTCTGAGAATTCAAACAGGCACTTCCTGGCACCTGCCTGCCTTTTGAAAGTCTTCCCACTGGCTTCCAAACTTTTACAGACAGGAATTTTGGGTATAATTTGGTGAATTCAAAAGCTTGATAGATTAGAACAGATCTTAAAATCCAAATAGTAACTGCTGTAGTCACCGAGTTCCTTGTAGGATGGATGGCATTAACTTCAAGGCTGTCTGTTCCTCAGTATTTTCAGGCAGTCTCCATGTTTTAAGAGATGGGGTGGGGGGTTGTTAAATAGTGGGGAGAGCAAGGCACAAGTACATGGGTAGTTGGAGCTCCTGGAAGGGGATGTGTAAGAAAATGCCTGTTTTGGTGTATCTTTGAATGTAGGAAGTAAGGCATTACTGTAAAACGAGGAATTCTATCTATCAAAGAACCCACGTATGAACGGTGATTTGTATGCTGTAATTGAAACAGAATTGCTTAAGGAGCAGCCTGTATTGGACATCACATGAAATTCTGTGATTCTGTAAACGATCACAGCGATTCCTGGAGTTTTATAACCTGTCTGTTTATGCACCACCATCTGCAAATGGCTTGGGAGAAAATTCAGGGTGATGTAGACAGAAACACATCGTATTTCAGTGACATCAATCGAGTGCTGTAAGTACTGATGCTGGGCTGCTACGTTTCCAGCAGCAAACTCAAAGGTGATTTTTTCAGTATGGATGGAAGGAGCCAGACAAGTTTACAAACAATTTTGTATCTCAGGAGAGTCAGTTGATATGGATTTCAGCTTTTCCTAATTACTACTTGCTTCTGATTTTCTAATAGCTGAATTCTCAGCTTTACGAATGCATTTGTTTTCATTTGCCAAAGCAAAATTAATTTGTTACACTTCTCTTGTTTTTCAGATTTTAATAAGTGAAGACGAGCCTCAAAGTACTGTGAGTAAAGACGAGGATTTCTCCTCCTACCCAGGGCCTGTCATGGTAAGCAAAAGTGTTCTATCAAGAGCCTCTATAGGCTGAAATCTAAAAAAGCATTAGGAAATTGATACTTACATGTGGGACTGTTGAATCTGAAGTGTACTGTTAAACTAGCCTAAGCTAATGCTTTTTTCCCCCCTATTACCCATACAAGGCTTTCTTCTTCATGACTGGTAATCAGGCTGCAGGAAGGAAATCAGTTTCTAATGTATTTAGTTGTCTGTGTGCTCCTCTTTGGAAGTGTGGTAACTTCAGTAAGGTACTGAAATCTGTGTTCTCTAAACAGTCCATTGTCTCTGACCTTTCCTTGGTCATTGATAGCTTGCTGTGTGGTGAGGGGGGCATTAAGTGACAGTGCTGAGGTTAACTGTAAAGCTTTGTTTTTCAGGATGAAGAGACTCAGCACAGCCTTGAATGCATCCAAGCTAATCAGATTTTTCCCAGGAAGCAGCTGATCCGAGAGGATGAGAACCTTCAGGTAATCACCATGCTTCTCCTTGCCAGCTGAGATCACAGTGGCCCTTGTTGAGCCGTGTATTTGTGGAATGTTCTTCTGTGAATCAGCACAGTAATGGGAGCAAATAGCAGTAATGGGAAAAACACTTCCTGTGCAAATGCTCCAAATATTGGCTGGAACAGAGAGCTTGTGCATTACATTGCAGAAGTTTCCTCAGTACTTGAAAAGCATAGCCACGTACCCGTGTTGTGATTTCAAGTGCTTTTTCCTGCACTGAGAATTTAATAATAATCCCTTTTTATCGGTGTTAGGAAAGTTTTTATTTCATAGTTGAGAACTGTGTTCCAACCTCTGCCCCAGCAAGAACAAAACCTAAGCAAACAAATAGCAAAAGCACCTCACGCTGCTGCTTGGGTTCTCTACCATTGCTTCCTGTTGCAGAAAAGCCAGGAGTCTTATGTAGCACAAAGTAGATTTTTTTTGTTTGGTTTTTGATTTTTCTGAACTTCAGGTGAAATCAATTTAATTCAGATGATTTAACCATATAGATCTCCTTCTGTTAACTAAAGAGCTAGTGTGTTTCATGGTAATAGAAAATATTTTAACTGCCTTAAGCTGATGTAAAACCAGGTTAGTTTCAAGTGGGGCATTGGCATGCCTTTCACTCAACTCAGCTGAACTGTGCTTAAATCTTATTTTTACTTAAACAACTGCAATTCTTATGTGCAGCAGAAAGTTGCAGGTATAGTTTCTTTCCAACTTCTAAAGCAGCAGCATGTCAAGCATTTTCATATTAGCAGTGGAAAATGAGAGTCAAAATTATGATTTGATTGATTGCCTTGCACTGTGTAGCAGTCAAGTTTCCAGTCTGAAATGCTAGTGGGTGCTGGGGTGGCTGCAGCGTAGAAGGTTATGCATGATTTATGCTTTGCCTAATTTAGGATGGATTTAATAACGAGATGGAAATGTCACTTTCTATTAAGTAAGGAGCAAGGGCATAAATCACAGTGTTGGACTGCTTGCCAATTTTTTCATAAAAATGCAGTCTTTTTACTGACTGAGCACATACAACTCAGGCAAGCTGTGAGAAATTGGGGCATTGTTTAAAAAAAGGCTGCAGTTCTCTATTTTAACAATAGCTAGACTGGGTTCTCAGGGGTGTTTCATTTTGCATTGTTGTTATTGTGTGTTTGAGTGGATGCTCACAGGAGGGATGTGTTTTGATAAATGCTTTCTAAAAGACTTCTCCTGCTGTTCTGAAGGTCCCGTTCATTGAACTCCATGGTGAGAGCACAGAGTATGTAGGACGAGCAGAGGATGCCATCATTGCACTTTCTAATTACAGACTTCACATCAAATTCAAGGAGTCTGTTGTGAACGTAAGTGTTATTGTGCTGCTACAGCAATGCAGGTATTTTGAACTCAATCCAAAGAAGAGAATTAGATGAAAATACAGTGATTTTCCCTTTTCACGTTTGAGTAATGAATAATCTCCTTATTGTGTTCAAATCATGTTTTTAACACGGTAGAAAGGTGTGCTTGGAATTCAAAAGATTGCTCAGCACCTCTGAAAGCACGGCTTTGTAATTCACATCTGCTTTCTCTTCCCTGTACGGGTGGCTGTCAGCCATACCTGCTGCCTAAGCTCTGCATGCACTTGGTGGACAAACAAACAGGGTCCTCCAGAGGGCTGTTTGCAGAATCTAAGCCAAGTTCATGGCTTGCTTGGAGTAGCTTCTAAAATTTGATGCCTGAAGTTGAATAGTGTCAATAGTGTCACAGATGTGAGAGACTTGTGAATTTTACCTTATTTTCAGATTCCTGTGCATTTCTTAATAGAACTGTACGTCCATTCTTAAGAACTGTTACATATCTTGCTCCTGAGGATCATAGAAATAGATTTTATGTGAAAATGAATTCAGTGAGCATTGTATAATCCCTTAGTATGGTGCTGACATGTTCCTGTCTTACAGGTTATAATACAACTTGTAAACTTTGTGGAATTCACTGGGACATTATACATGGCACAGAAGTGTTTTTGCAAACATTTGATGAAACCAGCAAGATAGGTTCAAACAACCTGGACATATTTTCCCCCTCCCATCAGGATGGGTTTTTCCACCAGTTCTTTAGTTCAAGACCATTCCTGCCTCTGGTAGTGGTGATTAGTTGCCAGGTGTCAGTATTGAATTACTGAGTTAAGTGTGGAACACCAGAACTGCTGGATGTTGTTCTAAAGCTGACCAAAGCAAGGGCAGCAGGAAAGAAGGCAGGTGCCTGTCATGTGCTGCACTGAGACATGTGCATCCTAGTGGTGTGCAACATCACTGAGGTCTCCTGTGCACGTAACTGGTAGAACTTTGATGTCGTATCAATTTTAACTTGTTCTTTTATTGTTTCTAGAGCCAAATGTTTAATTCTGCAAAAAAAAAATGTTTACTAATCATTTAAATCTTCACTGTTTTGCACTGTCTCTAATCCTGTGGCTCTGTTCTTTAGGCTTATATGTGCCTCTCATAGTTCTTAATCACATTAAGTGCCCTTTGAGTTCATGAGCTCTCAATATAGGATGCAAGGCATATCTGCTGGGCTAGCAAATGTCTGCATACAGCACCAAGTGCTAAAATTCTTGGTGTGTGCTTTATTCCAACAAACCAAGGTATAATTTCTCAACATGGCAGTTATTCAGAATGCTGGCAGAACATTTCTGAAGGCAAAAATTAAACTAAGGGCTCTTGTCTTTCGTTGCTGACCGAACAAGGAAGATAGTTTGTGTGCATGCATGCATGAAGACAGAATAACTTTGCTTTCCATTTCTTATTGTGTGGTTCAGGAATATAATGTGGGACTCAGTCTGTGCATGGGAATAGCAGCCAAGGTTCAGCCAGGTGCTCGTGGCTCAACTGCACTCTGGCCACTGCTTCCCACCGAGCTGTTGGCAACAGCAGGAGGATGTGTCAGGAGGAAAGTGTGTTGTGGGAGTCCTTTGTGGTAGAAACATGAATTTGAAGGCTGAATTTTCTCTATTGCTGCGGTATTTAGTGTTAGATTTGTTTGTTTTTGTTTGATTTGGAGTCTGAATGTTGTGGCAGAGGAAGGGACTGAATGTGTAACAGGAGGTAGCTGAGAGCTGAGAAACAAGGGTAGCTCTTGCAATTGGGAGTTTGTCCTTAGGAATGCCAGGAAATGGCTGAGTTACTTTATTAGAGAAGGCACTAATTGTGCACTGATGTATCTGTCCTTAGGATAACTGGAAAATAATTTTGAAGAGTAACCAATTAAATATTTATGAGCAGTAACAAAAACTGATGTTTTCTTAAATAAAGTATTTGAAGTTAGGAAGAAGTACATAAAATGGTATAAATATTACCATGCTAATTTTGCTTCACTGACTTTTATCCCTCTTAGTCCATTTGATGTCTCCAAGGTTTGTTAGTCTTTCTTTGGATGTCATCATTAACCAGAAAGATTCAATTAGATACTTTAGGTGGAAGAGTAGAATACGGTTTATTTGCTAATTCTCTGTGGCCATCACTAATGACTTATGGTGGATTCTGTAGTATGGGACCAAAGGCAGATAGGGTTTGGAATACCTGTAAGGATGAAGGGTGTTAGCAGTAATTAGGAACCACATGTAAATTGCTGAAGTTTGGAATAATAAGCACTTTTGTTACTGTTGATGGGATGGTGATTTTCTAAAGGGATTCTTCACTGAGTGATCTCTGATTGTGTTCATCTTGATTTCTGTAGTGGTTTTGTATCACGAGCTCTTCAGAAAACTTCTACAAGAGGAAAAAGGGAAGTTTCCTTAGGTTGGGATTGTTTTATCTTCTTTCAATCATTTTCGTAAGAATCAATATCCTAAGATCAGGCTTACTGTCAGCCTTCCCACCTCAGCAGAGAGAAGCATTTGTGTGTATGAATGAGGATCCTTAGTGAGTGTCTGGATTATGGTGCTGTTAAAATGAACGCCTTTGCAGCTGTTCCATGCAGGCATCTCCTCTCGAAGTAGATGGAGTGTTCCTGTGTGCTAGCTCTAGAAATGATCCTCCAGGGAATGCAAAACTGCCTGCAGGAAATGGAATCCAGTTAAAAACGGGTTCCCAGTCTTTGTTTTTGTCCCTCACTGTTCTCTTTTTGTTTACAATTCAATAGACTGGCTGTCCAAACCATGCTTGTGAAACCTCAGTAAGTAGCACAATGTTGCTAGATCACTTGCTGCACCTGTGCTTGAAAGTAAATACATTTAAATGTTGATAATGCTCACACTGCAACACTGCAGAAAAGAATTGTATGCCTAAGTCCTTTCCATGGATAATTTCCTAGAGCTGAGCAGTAACAGGAATGTGGTGTTTTAAATGCAAAAACAAAAGATCCCTTAGACCATGCATAAATTGAAGGGATTATGGCATTAAAAAGCCATTGACTTGCATTTATCCACAGGATGAAAATGCAGACACAACAGTGATATCTCAGTGCACATGAGAGGTTTGGTTCCCAGGCTGATCTCTGTTGATTGGCTTTCCTTAAGAAAATTTCAAACTTTGCAGCTGGAATTTGTCTGATCATTTCTCTCGATGTAAGCTCATTGCATTTATGGGAGAATTAAAATATTAGAGTAGTTTATGAAACCATGGGTTTGAATGTAGCCTCTTTCAAATAGCGGATTCTGGATGCAGGAGAAGAAAAAAATCATACTAGCAAGATGGAGGCTTTCAGTCTTGGGATCACATGAGTTTTTGTGTGAGCTCCCCCTTGCTTTTTAGTGGAAAAATGATTTGTTTGGTTCCTTTCCAGACTTACGTGAGTATTATAGCTGTGCTGCATCTGTGCTTAGTCCTCATGTCGATCCCAGGTCCTCCAATTGTGTGTTGGTCCTGAAGGCAAAAAAGGGGGCTAAACGATTACCTGTAAGACGAGTTCTAAGCTGTAATGTAGGTGTAATTAAAAGCAAAATTTGATGTGGGTACTCCTTGCAAGGTCTGTGAGCAATATTAGGGCTGGAAGGATTTGAACTCCTCCACCTGTGAGAGTCCTCTAAGGCCTTCTGAGCTGATCTTGCAGTGTCTGTACCTCCGTGTGCTGTGTTCTGTGTTTCAGGACGTAGAGCACATAGCTTTGACCTCATACTATGTAAAGTAACCAACATGTAACGTAACCCTAACATTACTTCAGGCTAAGAAGCAGGAAAACAAGAAAGTACTAATTACAGCTCAGGGCCTCTGAGTTACACATGGCATCCAGGAGAGTCTGAGGCCAAGTGGTGTGCAGGGTACAGAACAGCATCGTCAGTCTTCAGGGATCTGTCCTAAAACAGCCTGGACACACTCCAGTACTGCTCGGCGGCGTGCTCACGGCCTGAGCCAGGAGATGGGTTGTTTCAGCAGTGTAAACATCACTTTTCTTTTTCTGGGTCTGGAGGTATATTTCTCTAAATATATTTTGTACTGCGGTGAGGTGACGGCTCCAGTAAATAAAAATTAAAGGAGAGATGACTTCCAGAAGAAAATGGTTGAGTTGTAAGATGTTTCTGTTTAAAAAGAGGTTGATTTTCAAGAAGAGGAGCACAGGGCTGTAGTGCTCTCTATCATGTGATGTGGCTGGCCTTTGATAACAGTGCATGTTTCTTTGTATAAAGGTGAAAATTACTGCTTCACTGCTTTCTTTAGATGGATGTTAGTATATGGTGAAGTGCTTGCATATAAAATCGAGGGCTCTTTCAAGAGCAAACTAACTGCACGTGTCTGCCTGGCTGCGTGCTTCAGCCTGAAGTGTGTTAACAGTGGAAATGGAAGAGTATCCATGGGAAGGGAGGGGAGGGTGAAGGTGGATAGTGTTAGAGTTTTTTACTGGGCATTGAGGTATGTGACAGGAGGGAGTTTGAAGAGGATCAGAGTATAGATCTTTATGACTGGAAAAGAAAATTTGAAAGACTGGTATGAAGGTAGTCCTAAAGTAAGAAAGAAATAGATGGGGAGCCATGTGTAGACTGTCAAGAGAATAAAGAATGGCTGTTGAGCAGAGGGAGGATTGAAAAGGAGTAGAACAAAGACTGCTTTGTAAGAGAGGAAATCAGAAATAATGCAGAATGGAAGAATAGTTGGTATGTCATTAGAGTGCAGGTAGGAGGAAGAGGAGCTAGAACAAGGCTGGTGGGAAGAGGGAGCAAGATGGGTGCTGGAAGGAGTGCAGTAGAGGAGACCTTGAAAAAGAATAATAGCAGGTAAAGGAACAACTGACCTATAAAGGATGCTTTCTAGGTCTCGAATCAGGTAGTAGGAGGAGGGTATCTTTCTGTGTTGGTGCCATGTAAGCTGAGGTAGTTTTAAATCATTTATTGATATATGTGAGACTGTCTGGTCAGGAAGGAAGACTTGGAGGGTTCTGGTCCAGTCCCTCGTTAGACAAATTATCACAATTTTATCTACCTTGCAGACAAAACTCAAGTTGGAGAAATTGCTGATAAAAATAAGAGCACTGACTGTAGTAACAAAAGTACATCTGATACGCTTGTCTGCAGTGCACTTGAGTAGTTCTTCATGTAGGTATCATCAGCATCTTCAGTGTACCAGTTCTAACTGCTCACTTGTTCCACCAGAGCTGGGTGGTTCTGCAGACAATTTTATCTTAATGACAGCAAATAAAAAGGAGGCTTGGCTGAGGGGTGCATGTTTGGATGCCTGTTGATGTAATTTACTCTAGACTGTCATGTAATTTACTTTAGACTATTGCCAAAACAGTAACAAGACTGAAAGCATGGACTAAAATTCAACTCCAGCTTTGAATACCCTGACTACTGGGCTGTCCAGTCAGACTTCACCCTGTGTAGGCATCTTTGTGCTCAGAAGGTCTCTTATGGCTCACGTTTCTTAGACATGTTTCTTCTGCCTCCTATTCTTGATTCCTTTTCTCCTTCCATTCAAATCAGGGAATACTTAAGCTTTGTGGTGGCTGAATAGAAGCAGCCTTGGCTCCACACCTCGGATCCTTGGTTGGGAGTGACCTTTGAGGATGTCTGCCCAGAGTCACACAGGCACTGTCAGAGCAGGGTTGAAAGCCACCGTGTAAACCGCAGGGCAGAGCTTAAACTGCTGGATCATACCTGGCTGGTGACAAAGAAGAGAAGAGCATTTGAATGCTTCTCTGATAGCATCTGTATTCAAGAATCTCAGTGGCAGAGGTTTTGCTGCCTTGTATAATGTTCAATATCATCTCTAATAAGCGTTTCAGACAATTTTACACTTGGTCTTAAATCCTGTACCTGCGTTTGGAATTTAGACAATTACGTATGAGATATTGAGTTCTAACTTCTGTCACTTAAGCAGTGACAGAAAAGAATGTAGGTTTGCCTGTCTCGGATAAAAGTCCAAAGCTATTAATGAAAACTAATATTTTCATTGTGTGGTTTCTTCTCATCTTTTGCACGTGCTTCTGCAAGTTACGTGTGCCCTAAAACATCACATGCACCTTTAGAAATGAACAATTCAGCTTTATTACTCTCAGTACAGCAGCTTTGATCGCGGGTGTTGATTTACAAGTGCCAAAGGTTTTCCCTAAATAAGACACATAGAATACATCCCTATAAGAAGCATGTAGACTGCAGCGGCGTGCTAAGAGGCACCTTGCTCAGCATTTTGTTTCCAACACCAGTAGCTAAAATTACGTTTCATAAATCTCTAAATTTGGACCTACAGAGAGAAGCTTCCGTGAGGGAGGAGTTTGTGGGTTTCTGCTGCTTTTTCTGCCTTCGCATACGTTGCCAGTGCTGCAGTCCTGTCCCTGATAATTTCAGCTATTTTCCTGGTATCCCTTAAGGTTTTTTGGCTGTGCAGCAATGGAGCTAGAAACGTCACTGATCTACAGTACTTCAGAGCAGTTGAAGTAGCTGTACCTAGTTTCCTTTGCTTTTCTCTCTTTCTTTTCTGTCTCCACGCAGTCCCATTATAAGCCCTTGTGAAGTATACCAAGAAATTGCAATGTTAATGCCACTTGAAATTAAATCATATAATCTTTTTAATTGCAGGTTCCGTTGCAGCTTATAGAAAGTGTTGAGTGTCGTGATATATTTCAACTTCATTTGACTTGCAAAGACTGCAAGGTTATAAGGTATGACTAGGACAGATGTTGAATGGTGGTCAGTGTACCTTCTGTGTAATGTGAACAGCTGTGATGGTTTAAGGACGTATTTCTTAATTCATTTGTGCACTTGCTTTCCCCTGAAAGTTTTTCTTCTGTCTGCTTTTGTGTACGATGGGATGGGATTAAGATGTCTGCACTGTAGCAGACCCTAAGAAGCTATCTTACTGTATTTGGATTTTAGTTTCACAGCTTTTTCTCTGCCTTAGCACGCACTGCTGGACATGAAACTAGATGAAAGCACTGAAACACGCACTTCTTAGAAAAAATTAATTATTAATCAACATTTGGGACTGAAGAGTGGGGGGTTAATATACAGGTTTGTGCAGCTCTACATGAAACCTTCCGGCTGGATAGCACCAGCCACCCTGTGTTTTGACAGCTGTCAGAGTGCAGGAGGTATCCTTAAGAAGAAAGTTGGGAAAGAAGGCCTGGAATTAAGGTACAGCCAGGCCTGCAGCCCACCTGGGCTCACAGCAGGTTAAACAGCATCCTGCAGAAGGGAGTGTTAATTTGCTTCTATCCTTCAGCAGGTCTTCAGCATCTGCCCCTGGAGTCTCTGAGCTTCACTGTTCCCTATTTTGTGCTGGAGAAATTAATTTTGATCTATAAAGTTTAATTAAGAAAGGAACGTTTTTTCTGATTAAATGTTTGCTGGCAGTACCTTTCCTATAATGGAACGAGCCCCAGTCACATCTGAGCACTCAGAATGTTTAACAGGCCAGCTGCTTCTCAAAATGCTGTATTTTGGTGAGGTCTGATTTTACTTCAGAAGTAATATTTAGTTTAATTTGAATTAAATATTTAACTTCCTCTTAACTCGTAGCTCTTGACATTTAAAAAAAACACTCTCCTCTCTACGTTAATTTAGTGCTCTTCAATTGTACAGTGAATACAAATTATTTGTATTTGTGACCTCCATGATGAATTTTCATTCAAAATTGCAGCTCCTACAACCAGTACTTGATGGCACTAACTGTTGGAAAACCCTGAGATGTGGGGTTGAGAAGCCAAACTTAGAACTTGTGTCATGTTTTCATCAACAAGGCTGTTGGTGTTTTGAACATTAGGGCTCAAATGAAGAATGTTTTGGAAATGACACATAATGACTTCAAAAGAATTTGAAAAGTGGGATATTTAGGTGAGATGTATCTTGTCTGACTAGAGACGTTTAATAGATAATTAACCGGCCTAAGCTAACATTCTGGGCTCACTTTATAGTCAGTGATGAGGAATGAACGCAGCCAGGCTGTACTTCCTCACAGCTATTCCAGGTATGTTTGTAAAGCAGCACAAATTGGACATCTTCTTCCTTCCCCTGTGTGACTGTGAGGTATGTACAGGTGGGGATGATAATCCTGCCCTTAGAGAACGCAGACGCCGTCATTGGCCATGAACGTAGCTGAGCACAGGCTGAGCTGCATGCAAATGTTTGGTGAATATTTTATATCACTGCGCTTATTTCCACCCCGTTATTCTGAAGAGGCCAGAAATCCTCATTGAAATAAGCCAATGCCATTTTAATATGCTGCTTTGAGGTGTAGTTTCTCCTGTGCAGGGGATGTTCCTGCTGGCTGTTGATGTTAGTCTGCCAGGTTTGGCAAAGCTCAGATTCAGCAACGTTATTAAGGCCAGCAACAAGAATCTTAGCATATGTGGTAAGGGAAATAATGTGAGATCTCAAATACTGGAGGTTGTCCCCACTGATAAGTAGTACTTTGTTAAGTATATTGTTCAGATGGATTTTGCTTCTGTGTCTGATGAAAAATGCATTCTTGCTTGCAGGAACATACTACATTATAATGAATGCAGTAGTTGTGTGCTTAGTGTCCATCAGAGCAAGGTGCCAAACCATTCTGCTTTTGTAGGAAGGCTGCATCTGAACTCAGTGGTGCTGTCCACCATTTTAAACGAGGTGTCTGCATAAATGCATTCCTCATTCGTGATGAGTAAGGTGTACCGTTGGCTTATTCCCAGTCACAGAATATTGCTTTCATGTTTAGAGTTCAACTTGAATCCGTAAGAATGTATTTCTGTAGGAATATCCAAAGGTTTCATTTTTACTGTCTGTTAGAACGTAACAGAAGCAGAACTAAATTACCTGTAAGGTGTTTGCTCTCATTTTTTTGCTTTCACGGATGTTTTCATAGCCTATCAGATGTTATAATCTGGCATCTTATACTGAGAATTAACAGATAAATGCTTCTTTCTGTGACAGGTGTCAGTTTTCTACTTTTGAGCAGTGTCAAGACTGGCTTAAGCGTCTGAACAATGCCATCCGCCCTCCTTCCAAGATAGAAGACCTGTTCTCATTTGCCTACCACGCCTGGTGTATGGAGGTGTATGCCAGTGAAAAGGAGCAGCACGGGGATTTGTGTCGGCCAGGTATGAGGAAGCACTTTGGGGCTCAGCACAGATGGTTTGACTGCTGACTGCCTGCTTTCTGCTGAAATCCAAAGCATTCCAAAAAAACCCAACCAACCAACAAGCAAACAGAAAACCCACAAAAACAAACAATATCAATATTATGTTTTTTTCTGTTTAAATGATACCCGATATATTCTGTTCTGTCACTGGAACAGGTTGCCCAAGGAGGCTGTGGATGCCCCAGCCCTGCAGGCATTCAAGGCCAGGCTGGATGTGGCTCTGGGCAGCCTGGGCTGCTGGTTGGTGACCTGCACACAGCAGGGGTTGGAACTGGGTGAGCACTGTGCTCCTTTGCAACCCAGGCCATTCTGTGGTTCTATATGGACTCCTTTCACATCAGATCTTGCACTAACTCAGTGGCTGCAGAGTGTATCTTCACACAATTGCAGCAAGCACCTTCAATGTCTTCCATGTATGGACTTCTGCATGATGTGAAGTTTGTTCTGACTGGACAAATGAGAGATTAGCTCCTACCGTGGCTACTTTGGGGTAAAAAAAAAACTGTGCAAAACTGTGCAAACTGCACCTCAGTGTTGTGGGGAAGTTCCTGTGGTGATTTAATTCAGGCAGTCACATGTAGTACTGATAACATTTTGTTCACCGTGGCAGTAACTCATTCTAAAACATTTTGTACTGATTATACTCATGTTTTTAGTAATTACCTGCAACAGCCACCTTTAGCATGGATGTTGAGGAGTAGGAGGTAAAGAAGGAAATCTGAGCTGTGGGTTTCACAGCTGCAGCAGTGACCTATTTTTAGTTAAATACCACCTGCACTAGATAGTTAGAGAAGTCCATAAGTAAATAAAAACTGCAAATTCCTCCCCTGGTGGTTATAGCACTTGCTTGAATGTGAGGAAGTCTGTGTTCCAGGCACCCTGCAGTCTGAGCCCCTCTACATTCATCATCTTAGGAAAGCACCTTAATTATCAGAGCTTTGTTAATGGAGGAGAATGGTAGAGTGGTGTGACACCTATCACTGGAACTGGTGTGAGGCTTAGCAAAGCCTGCAGTTTTCTTGATGGCTGAGGAAGAGCAACCAGTAGGTGGCACCCAGGTGGGAGGAGGTGTCCTTTGGTTCTGGTTCTTCTCCTGCACTTCCTGAGCTTCCTTAGCGATTGTTGAAAAAGGTAGAAGAGTCATCAGAGCAGATTTTAAAATTCAGGTCTTTTCCCTAAGTAAATTCATTAGCTGGAAGGTAGTAGAAATGTAGGTTTATTAAGTCTCCTTTGCATCCTTTTCAGACAGGCTTCAACCCAACAGTGGGTTGTGCAGAGCAGCATTCACTTTGTGGTAAACATTTTTTGTCTTAGAGCTGTATCTATGAAATTGCCAAGTAGTAACTTGTTCTCCTCTGTAGCTTGCTTATTTCTGATGGTAGATATTTTTCTCCTATAAAGAATTAAACTATAGTTAAAGTAAGCCAATGGGAATGTAGTTAAAAAAACGAGTCCAAGTCACTGGATTTTCATTTGTTTATTTACATCAAAGCAGCCCAGTGTTTGATAGAGATGGATAAAAATACTGAGTTGCTTCAGAGTTCATTGAAGTATCAAGTTCTGGGGAAAAACACATTCTAGAGCACCTTCTGTGTATGTAATGGGAGGCTTGAGCTGTGGCTCATGTGATCAATGTTTATAGTTGTAAAGCACACATCCATGGTGTCTGTAGCTTGCTTTCTCTTCAATCTGGAGTTGGTGGGCTGTGCTTAGGAAGTTAGATTGTGCATCTTGGCTCAGAAGTCCTCTCAAAATGTCCCCATTTCAGGAGGGGCAGACAGTGGCAGGTGGTTTCATTTCCTGGAGGGAAGAATCTGATTTCTTGATGCACAGAGCGGCTATGAACCAGAGGGAGAAATCAAACATATTTCATTTTCATCTGTTTCTCTGAAACACATCCGCAGTATGTGGCACTGATGGTTGGAGATACTCCAGTATGCTCGTTTGCTACCCAGACTATTAATTCAGCATGTGCCCTGAGTTTTAGTGGCCATTCCTCACAGCAGCTGATAGTGAAGCCCATCCTCAGTGCATCAAGGGCACGCTGCTCTTCCAATAGAACATTTAGTGACAGAAATAAAAGGCAGTGATAAGGAAGAGCAGGACAGAAGTGGTGGACTGGCCAGAATGTATTGTTCCAGTTTCATTTCTGCACTTGAGAAAGGGTCAGAGGCCTGTCCTCACAGAGAGGACATTTCAGGATGATCTATTCTAGGTGGCTAGCAGATAATAAATTCAAGCTCATGCAGGCAATAAGAGTTCGTGTGAGAAGTGGGAAAATGTTGGCAAGCTCCACTGCAATCGATCTGACAGTAGGAAGGTAAAGCAGAATGCAGTGCCTCCACGGTACTGAGATTGACCGTTCTGGAGATTCACAGCCTGGGAGGCAGAATAATTTCTTTCTTTTCGGAAATTATTTTACCAGTGACATGATGGAAAGTGAGACAGTGATGGTGGCAGTCAGGTCCCTGGTTTTTGCAGTGAGCCTTTAGGGGGTGTTCTCTGTTTGCACACTGTGCCATTCTGCCGTTTCAGCTTTCAAACAGCGTGAGAAAAGCAATCTCAGTAGGCTTACCAAATACCCTGCATGTGGTAAAGCACACCTGGAATTGCAGTGCCATCTTCAGCACGTGAACTGAGCCGTAGAAATGAGTGACACTGTAGCTTTTCTTTCATGGTTAATTAAGTCTTGTGGTTGGGCCATTATCTTCATTCTTTACCCATTTCTCTATATTTATTTCTAATTGCTTGGTAATATCTCAAAAATGCTTCAGCTATGGACCTCTCCATCCCCAGGGACGCGTGTGTCTGCATGTGTATCTCATGTGTTTAAAGACATTGAAGGTTTTGTGAAACATGTAAAAGAAAGATGGAATACTTGAAGCACTAATTTTCAGTACTTTTTTCTCTCGCTGCCTCAGGATTTTGTGGTAGTCGTTTAAAGAGGCAAGCAATGGAAAGACTTGCAGAATCCTTTTCTTCTACTGGTGCTCAGACATTTGCATCTGCTGTAACGTAGACATTTCATACAAGTTATCTGCTTCTGCACTCTAAAGAACCATTAATTCTCCAGATCTATCAAAATACTTTTTCCTTTCTGTATGTTTTTCAGCTGCATTTTAATAATTTTAAATTATGTCCAGGAAAAAATGGAGCTCATTCCTTTAATATATTAAACTTCGTGGCTGATATTAGTGTCTAACAATCACACATTGAATTCTCATCACCTCTCTGATTTATGCAGTTTAGAGATGGAAGCCTGAGGTGCACATTAACGTACAGAGCTCAGCTGTTTTTCTTCCATGAGCCTGCAGAGGCAGGTTGTTTTAGAGAAAAACACTGTTTTATGGATTTGGGCATTTCCAGAGAGCTGATCAGGGGGAGCCAGCAATCCAGGCGGAGTTACTTGTGCTTGACACAGGTTTTCAAACAGGGCTATGGAAGGTGGACAGTATTTCTGAAATGTTCTTTCCTCTGTCTAGGATGTAATGAGCATGGTGTCTTTCTCTGTTTTGGAAGGTAGGAATCTTGTTATTTCACCTTTGTTTTCTCTCTCTGCTTTCGATACCCAGGAGAACATGTAACTTCAAGGTTTAAAAATGAAGTGGAGAGGATGGGTTTTGATATGAACAATGCCTGGAGGATTTCCAACATCAATGAGAAGTACAAGTAAGTTATGTGGGCTGCTGATCTGCAGCCAGACAGCATCTCAAAACACCACTTTTTTTATAGCAAGTTACTGGAACTTTTTCCAAGTTCTGCAGTTCCTCATAAGGGACAATTGCAACTATGATTTTTTTTTTTGCTGTTTTATAGCATAAATGTGCTTTTAAAGTGGCATGTAATGCTTTGTTAACTGTTAAAATTTTGCAGGCTTAGAAATATCTGATTTTGATGTGCTTGCTGGAGATCTCCTTAGAGAATAAGCACGAAGGGGAAGCCTTAAGAAGTCAGCGGAGAGTGGAGCTGTACTGAACTTACAAAAAGTTTTTTTAACATACCTTATTCTCTAACTTATGACAGAGCTTTGTGGGAAGGAATATGGTTTGGATGAGTCAAACCTACAGACCCCAAAATAAGTGAAAAAAATCTTTTCCTGAGAGTAGGATAAATAATAAATAAAATAATAAATAAATGTCCCCTCTTCTGTCTGCTGGGTCAGAGAAAGGAGTTTGTCTGTGTATGGGCAGTGGCAGTGTACTGCTGCAGCCCCATCCAGGTCAGTGCAAAGCCAGCAGTAACACTTGTGATGGAACCTGTTTCATTGCCTTGTCTGTGGAGGATAATGACTTGCAGTTGGAAGCTGCTGTTACTGCATGAGCAGTATTTGTGTCTAAAAGTCTAGCCTAGTAAAAAACTAAAGAATGCTGAGGAAAAAGAGAACTTCAGTGCCACGAGGAAGCAGAATAATACAAATGCTTCATTCTTATGGCCAGCACTTGAGGTAGGTTTTTTTTTTCAGCACAATTGATACATTTTTCGGAATAAAGTGCCCTCAAACCTGTCCTTGCTCAGTGCATGTGTCTCTTTTTAAGTTCCTTCATGTAACTTCATTGTAGGAGTGTGTATTCCATTTTCAGTAAAACATATCAGGTATTGAACTTGATTTTTTTTTTTAAGGATATTCTCCTACTAGTGTATATATTTTAAAATGAGTTATAAAATTATTGTGGTAGACTACCCAGAACCATAATGTAGTTAGACCAAAGCAACACTAATTGTTAATTGCTTATTGCTTAGTTAATTGCTAATTGTTCTTGTTTCCCATTTCTTCTACTTATGTTTTGCTAGAAGACCTTTTTAGGTAGAAAGGAGGAGGAAGTTTTTCCCCCAGAGGGTGGTGAGGCACTGGCACAGGTTGCCCAAGGAGGCTGTGGATGCCCCAGCCCTGCAGGCATTCAAGGCCAGGCTGGATGTGGCTCTGGGCAGCCTGGGCTGCTGGTTGGCGACCTGCACACAGCAGGGGTTGGAACTGGATGAGCACTGTGCTCCTTTGCAACCCAGGCCATGCTGTGATTCTATGAAAGAACATCCAAAATGGACAGCATTTTATTATGTCAGAATTCGGTTCTCTTAGAATTAGAACTTGGATGGTAGGTGTGTGAGTTCTTCTGTGCTTTGTGACCCAGTGCCTGAGTGGTTAATTCTTTAGCTTGGAGAGAATGTGGAGGTTTTTTGTGTGCCCAGTTTATTTCAGCTGATGGAGTCTCAAATCATCAGCATACACAAACAGAAATCTTCTAATCCTGAACTGCACCTTGCTGTTCACAGTAATTTTTTAATATGCTGGGGAGAAGCTTCTTAATGCACAATGAAACAGGGCCTAACAAAACTGCTGGACTGATCAGATATCAGGTCGCTTATCGTGTTCTTTGGTTCATGCTGTGTAGGTGGTGTGCAATTGCTCTGTGCTTCTTACATCAACCCTATGTGCTGCTTTTCTCTCAGGCTCTGTGGCAGCTACCCCCAGGAGATTATAGTTCCTGCCTGGATCACGGATAAAGAGCTGGAGAGTGTGGCAAGCTTTCGATCTTGGAAGCGCATCCCTGCTGTTGTGTACAGGTAGGCACTGGAACAGCTTTCACCTGACAACAACTGAGATGTTCTAGCAAACAAAAGTGAAATAACTTGGAACCAGGAGTCTTGGTGTTCAGTCTCTGTGGGCCCCAGATATCCACTGGGCAGTCTTTAATGGAAGTCTTAAAGATCTTTTAAATTAATAGTTTTCTCGTATATTCAAAGTAATTAGAGGCTTACCTCACATCTTGCCTTGTTCTTGTGTGTATAACATGATGTGGGGGGATGATTCACACAGGCCCAGGACCTGCCAAGGTAGAAAGAGGCTGGAAAGAGGCTACAAAACCTGGCACAGTCTCCTCTGCGCTGCCTGTGGGAGCCATAGCACACACCGCACTGAGCTGATCTGCTCAGTTACCCACTCTGGGCTTCTGCTGCTCCGCTCCAGAGGGATCCCAGAGGCAGTCTTGTGGATGAGCAGAATAGGACCTGGGAAGCAAGTCATCCTAACAGTTCAGACAAGGATGCCAGGGTGCTCTTGTGCAAGGAAAGAAGTTCAGACCTGTGATTAAATGACAGCCAAGTGTGATGCATTCACCTTGATGGTTTGGGGTTTTTGTCTCTACGTTTGCTACTTGCACGTATACATCACTTTATACCTATTTAAACCTCCAAGAATGTGTGCACAGCAGCACATGTTGGCCCTTGTCAAGCCATTTATAGAGTAAGACAGACATGTTCAGTCTGAATGTGAATAATGGTTTGTATCTTTTAATTCCAGATGTGTTGTGGTAGCACTCAGCATTGTGTGTCCTGCAAGGCATTCATAGGGCAGCATCTCAGTTCAGGTAGTTATGTATTTTGAGAATATGAAAAAGTGTAAGGTGGAGAAATTGATGCAACTGCAGAAATGGTGAGTAGCATCTCTAGCCAGGTACTCTTGCCATCTTTCTTTGGTTCCCACCTGGCCTTTTGGAAGAAGAGTCATGCAGAAAAGAAACACAAGGAGAAAACAGATACTCAAACCGTGCACTATAAACAAGAACAAATCCTAGAATTATTAAAACTCATTTACAAAATAATGCATTTGTTAGCTCCATCTACGTATTTTATATAGTTTAAGCAGGCATCTTTTTCCTTAAAGTAAGTCCAGCAATTGTTCATAGGATAACTGCTCTTCTGAGACATTTGTTGGCAGCTTATTTAGTAAGAAATATATTTCAGATTTTTTTTCCCAAGTATTCTGGGACCTTTGTACTCGTTTCCTCCCATAAATGTTTAAAATCTCTTCCTTTGTCATCTGATTTTTTTAAAAACACAGCAAATACTGAGAGTTCCATTAAATCTGCCTGGTCTCTTTTCTTGGAAACAGAGAGAACAGAGCTTTTTTCTGAGCTGCAAGTGAAATTTAGAGGTCAGTAAAGACAGAATCGTATGAGCTTGGTCAGAGGAGCAGGCACACAAGAGTTAAGGGTGCTACGAAGCACCATTTACAAAGGATGAGAGTTTCTGCTCCGTGAATGGAGAACAGATCGCTCTGTGGCAGCGCACGGATGGTTTTGAATCCTCCTGTCTTTCCTCCTTTTTTCCCTCCAGAATGCAGTGGCAGCATGCTCTGCAAACATTCAGGAATTGCCCCCATCTTCTGTTCACTCTGTGATGGGAAAATGTTTTCCAGTATATGCTGATGTTTTTTAGACATAGGTGGTTGATTGTTATGGTGCAAAAGTGTTTGTATGTATAAAAGAGAGCCGTGCAATTTATGTACAGTTTTGTACCCAGCTTCCAACGCCTTATTGCAGAGCTTTGTGCCCTTGGTGCAGTTGTCACATAATTGGGCACACTTCAGATGGGGAAGCATTGCCTCCATTCTCACTGCGCAGGAGAAGTAATGAATTTCTGAGCATTCTTGGGTGCAGCTGCATTCTGGAGGTTTATGGGATGGTGATTGAAGTGGTTGAAAGACCTCGTGGACTGAAATTGTTCAATTGCTGGCATTAATATTCGACTGCTCAGATGAGTCTACATATGTTGAATTACGACACAATATTTCATTTGTATCTGTTCCAGTGAGAGAAAAGTTTCCCTTTTTTGGTTTCTTTTTCCTTTATCTTGACACTCAGTAATAGATTTTCGAGACATTCACTTCATTGTTCTGCACTCCAGTAGGAGCCAAATCAGCTGCTGCTTGATGATCCGTATGATTGGAAATCCATATATAGTTCTCTCTTTATATATGTGACATAAAAGCAGCTTTTTTTCCTTACTTTTGAGGGAGTAATGGGCAAAAGCTCATTCAGCATTATTATCTGTTGAGTGATTTGGAGACTATTGATTTCATTATTTATTGATCACATTTAATAACTCTGCTCTTATTGCTTTACTTCAGGGAAGAAAGTAATAATGTTTTAAATACAGCCAATAACAAGTCTCAGATATTTCCTGAGTGCTGGGACGAGGCAGCAGCAAGGCAGACACTTGGCTACAAAAACCTCTTTGCTCTCGTAAAGCATTCAAGAGCTGTGGCAGTATCCAGGTCTGGGAAGTTGGACAGGCTGAGTTCAGAGGCAAACTTCAAAAAATACTCCTGCTAGATTGCATTTCCCTGTGCTCCTAGGAGCACTGCTTCTATTCGATGGTCGTATCTCCAGAAAAATGTGACACCCAGCTTCTGCAGTTTCCCTCAGTGTTTGCCTGTTTGAAAATCCGGGCACGTCTTGAGGCAGATAAATCTGGGCTGGAACAGGTTCTGTAGCTGACCTGTCTTTGGTCCCAGAAAATCGGTGTTAGGAAGAAGCCTTTGGGAGATTCAGTGAATGAGGCAATGCAGGGGACTTCATCTGCACTGCACAAACAACTCCTGAGAACCTGCTGAGAGATGAGCTGTGTTGGAGGTGCCTTTGGCTCTGTCACACTGCTAAAGGCCGTTGCGCATGCAGGCAGTGCTTCTGCCAGCACAGGAAGCAGAGGTAACCAGAACTCTGCATGTACCAGCCTGCTGAATTACTTTGAATTGCCGTAAAGATTTCTTTGGTTGCAAGCACTGGTAGTTAAGTAGTGCTGTGCAGGGAGCTGTGCAGGCCTTTACTGCTGCTCCTTGTGGTTGCAAGGACGTGGTGGATTTATTGTCGTACTCAAAAGGTTGCTTGAACAGAAAGATTAAGCTTATGCAGAGGTGGGCTGTACATCACACAGTTATATGGTGCTTTATAATGGTTTTTATAGTTACTGAGTGAGTAATAAACCATGGACCTTCTATTTTCCTGTCTAGAGGCTACATGTTACTGTGTCTCCAGGAGGTTAGAAGGTCTGGGTGGAAGGTTTGGTTGAATATTTTTAATTCCCTTTTTGTTTTGCTACTGCAGTGTGAATGGTACCGTCTTATCCTCAGGTCCATCCCACGGGACCTCAGAATCACACTTAAACTATTTGCTATTTTGTGTTTGTTTGTTTTCCTGCAGCATTACTGTAAATAGAATTGCTTGCTGATTTCTGCTTAGGAGTATCAGGGCTTCACGGCCATCAGCGAGCTCAGCTCCAGTCCTGGTGGTTCTGTCATTCAGGGTACAAATGGGAGGTGAGAGCCTGGAGATGAAAATATAACTGTTTATGATTCTGTGAAAATGATCCTGCAGGTAGGTGGTAATGAAATCCCAGGGAACATATGGGAGAGTAAATGAGCTTATCTAGGTGTTCAGAATAGAATTATTGCATGTATAATGATGTTTTATTTTCCTTTGTTATTTGTGCCAGCGTACCAGGAGCGAGGCAGCCTCTCAGTGAGTGGCACATATTTTTTGCTCAACTAAATTTTTATCAATAGTTCTGCCTCTGAAGGCAGTTCATTTCAACAGCAATCCATTTTCCTTTGCGTGGAGCCTGCTGGCACCTGCTGTAAATGCCGTGGCATTCAGATTGCTTTTCCTTTGCTTCTGTTAATGCAGCGTGTCAGTTGCTTCCTCTCAGTGAAAGAATTTTATATGAAACCATTACAGAGGAGCTATGAGAAGTACTTAAAATACAATATCACCAAATAGTTCAGAATTTTGAGTTTTTCAGCAGCAAGTCTCAACCTGATGTTCACACTGAGCAGTGTGAGGCAGCCTGTTGCTGCTCCCTGCAGTGCTCTGAGACGTGGCTGTGCTGAGCTCTGGCAACAGATTATAAACCAATTTCTGACACCTGAGCACCCCAATAAATTGGTTACAGAGAGAAAGAAGGTGAGGTGCATTGGTGTGGGCAGGCCTTCTTCTGTTCAGGACTGTCAAGGCCAACTGTAAATTTGCTTAAAGATTCAGCTCATCCTTACTTCTGTGCAGTCAAGCAGCACTTGGTGGACTTGAGGCTGGATGGTCAGTTTGTCTGCAGGAAAACTCCATCTTCTTTTCCTCCAGCATAACAATTTAGGCATAACAATTGGCACATAATTCTAGGGATGTGGGGGTTGTGTTTCCACTGGTGCTCCTGAGCAAGGAGGGCACTGCCTAAACACACCTTTGTTGGGGGGATGTGTGCCTGCAGGTCATTGAAACGGAAGGGAGAGCAGGTGGGTAAGGGAGTAGAGTCATTGTGATGGAGTGAAACCTTCTGGTGTGCCACTGCTTGGCACCACTCAGTCACCACGTGGCCTGAGCAAAGTCGTGGCTCTGCTCTTTGCATCCCCACCTGCAGTGCCTTTCTTGTGTGGCTGAGGTCCTGTGCCTGGGGAACGTCAGGGAGGATGGTGTAGAAGCCGTGTGTGAGCACTGCAGTGAATGGGGAGCTGTGTGTTCTGCTGCAGCACTGGGATGTGTCAGCACAGGGACAGCAAGCGAGAGCTAAGCGACAGTGTTTCAGAACACCTTTTTTTTAAGAGTACATTACAATGATAAGTGTCTAATCTGTTTTCCAAAGCATGTTTGCAGCGGTTGGATACTCTTCAGTTATGTCACATCTGTTCTTTATGTGTAGTCAATGAAAAAAACAATAATAGTTAGTAATTCTTAAGGTGTTTAAAAACATATATATATTTGATAGACTTCTCTCTGTCTTCTTTTCCAGTCCTCAGAAGTTTCATCAGTGTATAGAGTACTTAAAGTTTATATCCCATTTTAGAAGAAAAATGTTCAGTTAATAAGCAGTTTTTCCTTTTTCATTGCTACTTAGGTATCCACAGAACAGTTTGTGTGCTTGTGCACTTTGTTACCAGCCCGGCACCACGCTGGTGCTTACGTGGAGGAGAGCAGTGCTGCTGGTGCTCTGCAGAGCTCCTTGGTGCTCTCCTGCAGGATGTGGTTGATGTGGGAGGCAGCAGATGAAACACAACCCACAGAAGGGGAGGAACAGAGAAAACCACACCTAGTGGAACCTCAGGAGGGGAAGAATGTGAGAAGAGGAAGAGGCAGGGCTGAGAAGCTTAAGGAAGGGGGTGACATTGTGAGGTCTTGGTTGGTTTTTTAAATCTTTTGTTTTTTTGCAAGATTACATTAAGATAGAATGCCACTCTTTCCTAACAAACACTAAAGCAATCTTCAGAATGAGCAAAACTGCAGATGTTCAGCATTCAGAGAAACTAGTGCAATAGTGCCTAAAATAACGTGGTTCTGCAAAGTGCTCAGGGTCTGCCTTGGGTGCTTCACAGATGATGCTTGGAAATGGATACCATCAGTGTGCAAGTTGGTTATGCTTGGTGTTAAATGTCATCAGACAGAAGGCGTGCTGCGTTCTGCCGTTTCGTACCAAAATCATAACATTCTTCCCAGATTCAATTAGTAGAACATTTTGGTTTAACAACAAAAAGCTCATCAAAGCATGAGTCTCTGGTTTTACTCCTTTCTAGCTATATAAATTAGCACGAGCTAAATTGAACTTTCACATTTAGTCTGTCATGCTGCAGCTGTAGACCTGACTAGCCAGGAGGGGTTGGATACCCCTTTATGGCAGCCTGTTGTTCTGAAATGTTCCCCAGCTTTTACTGGCCAACAGGCAGCAATGTTAAGAAGGGAAATGCTTTGTTTTCCATGACCAAACTCAGCTTTGACTTTTACCTTTCAGTGGAGGTGTAATTACAGGCAGCGTTTTGAAGTGAAGCATGTGGAGTGCATTGTCCACTGAGTCACAGACTGGAGATAACTGCTGAGCTGTAGGTTCCCCAGCAGGAACTAAAATGCTGGAGGGAATCGTTTAATGCCTTCTGTGCTTTTCATCCTGACCTTTCAAGTTATGCACTGGTTCCTTCTGTTCTGTTCGTTTTCAGGCACCAGAGCAATGGAGCAGTCATTTCCCGCTGTGGACAACCTGAGGTCAGTTGGTGGGGCTGGAGGAATGCAGACGATGAGCACCTTGTCCAGTCTGTAGCCAAAGCCTGTGCCTCGGATTCAAGGTCCAACAGTAACAAACTAATGAATGGGAATTGTTCAAGAGATTTCTCCAATGGAGCAGACCTCTCTGATGTGGAATTTGGTAAGTTTGCCACTGTTCCTTTTCTGTAAAAGGCCGAGATTTATATATAAGGCTTCATCTCCTTTGTGTGTGTAACAGATTGTATCCCTTGCATTTAATGAGGCGTTCTCTGATTTCCGTGTGCACGATGCACACACGCTGTGGGACTTGAGTGAATCATTGCTGCAAACAATGCCAAGAGCATCCCTTCAGTTATTCTTCAATTCCATATCTTCTCCCCCAGATTCCTCCATCTCTAACGCCTCGGGAGCAGAGAGTTTGGCAATACAGCCTCAGAAGCTGTTGATCTTAGACGCACGGTCCTATGCAGCAGCTGTGGCTAACAGAGCCAAGGGTGGAGGCTGTGAGTGCCCAGGTAAGCAGTGCCTCTTCACATTTTTGTATTAAGTTGATCAAAACCATTTGCTTGACTATAATGACAGCGATGTTCTTAGGTAGTGCATATTTAACAGGCTGCGTGGATGCAAGTACTCCTCATCTAGGAGAAAATTTTGGACCGTGGCAGCCATCACACAGCCCTTCAGAAGGACAGCTTTGACTCTTAGTTAGCTTTCTCAGAGAACAGAACCAGCTGGTAACAGGGCTCAGTGCATGCTGAACTGTGCTGATTGCCTTCCCCTGCTGTGTCACATACTTAAGCTAGTGTGAGACAAACGCATCCACTGGGCTGGTGGCTGGAAAACTGAGCAAACTTTGAAATCTGTTAACTGCAAAGGATTGCAGTGTTCCAGAATGGTTGTGCAGAAGACAACTTTTCAACAGTTTTTGCAAAGCTGAAATATTTGTAAGCATTTATGCTGTAACCCGAGGCAACTGAAATCCTGATCCGTCTTGTGTTTGTCATGCGTTCACATTTATCACTTTCTGTGTGCTTTGGCACTTGCTAATCGTTGATGGTATAAAGAAGATATTATTTTATTGCTGTTGGATGAGAATACAGTCTGTTAAAATTCCATGGCTGGATAATCTGAAAAAAAACCCAAAAAGCCATCAAATTGTTGATGAGGTAACAAAAGCCATTTCAGCCATATATTCCTGGTTTGGTCTTTGCTGCAATAGCTGCACTTTGGTAAATGAACACCAGAAGAAGGGATGAATTTTCCATTTAACACCTCAGAATGAATGAACAACTCATCGTCATCGCAGAGTAGAACTGCAGCATGGAAAGCAGAGTATGCAATAGGTTTCATTTTCCTCATGTCTCGATTCTTGAATTCTTTGTAGGAAATGTCCAGGCAGCTTCAGTGTCACTTCCAGTGCATTTGACTTGTCTTAAGTGCTTCATTTACTGATATTTTTTTTCCCCAGGAATTGCCACGTTTACTTCATTCCCAGGTGTAACATTGGTCTCAGTTATGTTGTGTTTTGTGTCATTATAACATCATTCAGTAGAGATTGCAGAAATACTCAGTCTGGTGCTGTCAGTCATTTTGGACTGCAGTTCCTTGTTTTATCACTAACAGGATGTTCTGGTCTGGCCAGAATTTGTTGAGCTCATTAAATGGGAAATCAAATGGTAGAAGGCACACTCTTCTAAGAGAATACTGGATTTCCTTATACAAGCAATCAATATCCCATTCTGATTCATGGTTCTTTTTCTGTTGTAGGAAAGGTCATTTTATTGCTATTGTGTCATCAATTTGTGCAAACAGAAGCAGCAGCACAGAGCAGAGCTCAGTCCACTCGTGACCACTGTGCTGCTGCTTCCCCAGCAGAGCCGTTGCCTGAGGACAGGCTGTAGCAACATCTGAAGGAATGCTCAGTCTGTTTTCCTAACTTCCCTAACTGTGAGGATCTCTCAGGTGCTTGCAATAGAGGTTCTTTGCAATAGGGAAATTCAGCACGATTCAGATTGAAGAGACCTTTCAGCCTTCTTGTGTGGCTGTGAAAGCAAAACCGTAACTGCTATAAGAAACAGGAATTAGCTTACCAAACTTAGGAACATCCACAGATTATCAGTTAAATGTGTTCTATGCTTCTCAGTCTGCATAAAAACATTGTGACACCCACACAGCAGTATTGCTATTCCCACAGGTTTGTGCTCTGCCTTTTGTAATGTGAAGCAAAACATTGAAAAGAAATAGAGAAATGCTTTGCTAATTCTCTCCTGTTTTGATGTGTTGCAATGTCTGGAATACCCACTGAAGGCCAGGCACTAGTTTTTCATTACAGAATATTTGTGAACAGCTTCTTTCGTCTGCCCCCAGCACCGCTGGTTTGTTGTGGTGAAGAAGCTGCTTTTAGAAGTTAAGCTAAGCACAGTTTGTAGTTTCTTCTCTCTCGGTGTTTCCCTGCAGAGTATTACCCGAACTGTGAAGTAGTGTTCATGGGAATGGCAAACATCCATTCTATCCGGAAGAGCTTTCAGTCCCTGCGTCTGCTCTGCACACAGATGCCAGATCCAGGAAAGTAAGTGGCTGTTCAGTGGTTTTTGCCTCTATTTACATCTTTCTATATTTTTTCCCTGCTGTTTTGTAAACTGATGTTCAAGTGTTACGTTTTTTCCTCTTACTGACTTTCCTGTGCAAAAATGCAAAGCTGTAATTTTCATTACATAGAATTTGTTGTAGTATTTTCACTGAAGTAAATCTAGAAAATGAGACTGGGGATTATATTTCAGCCCTGAATTTTATTCCTGGCATCTTATTCCTTTCAAATGGGTTCCTGAGTGCTAGCACTTACTCTAATCTGAGCTTCCTGGATCTTTGATCTTTGCAGCCTGCCCCTCTTTCAGAGTATCCTTGTGCTCTTCCACATGCTTCATGCATTTGTAGGGGCTTTTCAAGGAATGTGGCCCTTCAGTGCTATGGGATGATGAGGCTCTAGTGGTGCATCAGCTCAGAGGCTTCTGAGGTTGGATCTTCATTAGGACACTGCAGCTGCACCAGTCCTGTCCCCCCTGCCACCTCCCTGTTCTGAATTTGTTGCTAAATGTAATGCGTGGTTTCAGAGTAGATCCAGAATGGCCATTCATACTGAGCTGATAGGAAAACCTCCATGCTGTGTGATTCTCAGGGTACCTCCAGCACACCTCAGGAAGCCTGGCAGTGGCTGAGATGTGTGTGATGGCAGAGGCAGCTCAGAGGATCCAAACCTCTTAGTTGTCCTGATCGCATGGCAGAGCCTCAAGGTCTGCCACTGACAGCAGGACTGCAGTGCAACCTGAATTGGGAAGAAGGGGATCAGCACAGGCTGCTGGAAGTAACCATTACCCAGTGGTGCTTATGATGGCCTGTGCTGGTGATCTGCTGTGCACCTATCTGGGCAACTGCCGCAGCCTGATTGTGGGCTGCAAGGCTTTGCTTCTTACAGTTCAGGGAAAGTCTTAGCAAAATGTACCTGAAAAATAATCAGTGATGACATTCACAGCTTATTTACACATTTAAGAATGGTTATGCTTTGATTTGATGAAATCAGAGATTCAAACCTGGAAGCATTTTAAAAGAGCAAAGATTGTCCTCCTTTGTTTTCTTCCAGTTGGCTGTCAGCTCTGGAGAGCACCAAATGGCTGCAGCACTTATCTGTGCTTCTGAAATCTGCACTGCTTGTGGTCCATGCTGTGGACCGAGACCAGCGACCTGTCTTGGTGCACTGCTCCGATGGCTGGGACCGAACCCCCCAGATCGTGGCTCTGGCCAAACTGCTGCTAGATCCCTACTACAGGACCACAGAGGTTTGTAAGCCATCTGCTGATGAACATTGACTGAGTTTGGGTTCCTTTCCAAGGAATTTTGTATTGAAAAGTAATTACAGAATTTTCACCTAGAAGCAGCGCAGGAGCTAGCAGGAGTTCAGTAACAGCAGTCTGCAGATACGGTTACATGCAGGTGTAAATATAGTCTGTACTTCAAGAGCAGATTGTGTTTTTCCTCTTTGCAATAACTGCCCTGTCATGGTGTTCCTTTCCCCATAGTTAGTTTAGAACATGCAATACAGAGCGCTGCTGGCACAGCTGCAGTTTCTCAGCCAACTGCTGATGCAAAGCCTTTCTCTGTTCTCTTTTCCAGTTTTCTTAGCTACATATTTCTCCAGTTTCATTTCTTTCATTATGCCTTGTCACGGAGTTATAACACTGTTGCTTTTTCAGCCTGATTTTTTTCTTCCAAGGCTTTTCAGCACTGTGGGGTATGTGATGGCTAGATTCCATCTGTCAGCCCACATGCAAGATGCCTTTGTTGTCTAGAACAGAAGTGTGTGTCTGTGCACTGTGCTGTACTCTGGTGTTTAAACCCTCAGATACATGTGGACAGGGAGCTGAAACTGTAGCAGTGCCCTTTGGAGGAAGTTGTGGAGACTTCCTCAGACCCTTTTTCACATTGGTTCTAGAGGTCAGCATCCACCAGGTCAAAACACTCTGCTCTGTCTCTGGTGCAGAAGCTCCTCCCAGTCCCTCCTCAGTGTTGTCATTTCCTGTTCAAACTGAAAAGTTCTTCTACACTCACCTTTTTGCTGCCTGCCTTTCCACCGCTGCATCAGAGGAGCCATGAACTGTAACTATGCACAAGAATAAGGAATGTTCAGAAGAATGAATTTCATCATGGTCACTTTCAGGCTTTACAGCTATCAGCTTTCTTTTTCCTTTTGAATTACAACCATTGGCTTAATGAAGTGTGATCTACACTTTCTCATTCCACTTAGAAGCAAAACCTTTCTAACGTGGTAGATTTCAGGTCCTGTAAGACTAGGTGTCACAGCCGGGTTCTTCACTAGACACTTTTGGAATGTGCTTTGCCCTTTGAGTTTGCATGAGAAACTGTGCAGTCTGACTTTTATCAGACCTTTATCTGACCTTTATGGCTGTGCTACGTTTGACACACATGTAGGCAAGCAATCTCTGTGTGTGAATATCTTGTCGTGGTGAATTTTCTTTTTGACAGAAAGATTGTCTCCTTTGTTTCCAAAGGAGAGCATTAAGATTTCCTTTTATATCCAAGTGAAGGTTACCATTATCTGGGTTTGAATCAAGATTTGAAGTTCATGCTCTTGAGATAGCTCTCATGTCAAGGTCTGCTTCCTCGTGAGCCAGAGGACTTAGTAGTCTGTCTTATTCCCTTTCCTGTCCATGTGAGCTTGGGAATTCACTTCAGTCCTAATTTCATTGTGCAGCTCTTAAGAAAATAGAGGTACTGGATAAAGGAGAAAAGGTAAGTGATGGGGGCTGATTCTGAAGGGAAGTCAGGAGTGAGGACACAGCAATAAGATGAGCTCCGCGAGCATCAGACCGTCTTAAAAAGAGAGAGAAAGAAAGAAGTAGAGGGGAAATTTTGATCTGTGCTTGTGTTTGTGCAGGGTTTCCAGGTGCTGGTGGAGATGGAGTGGCTGGATTTCGGCCACAAGTTTGCCGATCGCTGTGGCCATGGTGAGAATTCGGATGACCTCAATGAGCGCTGCCCGGTGTTTCTGCAGTGGCTGGACTGCGTCCATCAGCTCCAGAGGCAGTTCCCCTGCTCTTTCGAGTTTAACGAAGCATTCCTTGTGAGTTGTGGCTTGAGAGCTTGCTGTTTCATAGGCTGCTCCTAACCCAGTACACACATTCTGAAGAGCCCTGAGGGGTTTCTGATTTTCCCATCCGTCTGTGGCGGGATGCCTTCAGCCTGATAAAGGACAGGGGAGAGCTGCCCTCATGCAGCAGACAAAAATACTTGTATACTTGTGGAGGCTGGGGTTTGTTCGCTCTTAAAACAAAAGCAGGGCCCTTAAGGGCTTCTTTTAAACTTGAAGGGAAGAAACAAACGATATGAATTTAACCATCCTACTTAAGAGCTGCTGAAATAAGTTCAGTGCAATACGTCCACACAATAGAAAATTGTTTACTGGCAGATAAACTTCCCTTGACTTGGATCTCTTTGGATGCTGAAGATAACTCTTCTAAGCACTCCTCTTTACCTCTCCATTCGATTTTTCTTCCTTTGCTGAAAATGTACAGGATGTACCAGCGGTGTTTCTTTCCTCTGGAGGGGGAGAGCTCTCTTATTAGAAACTTGCTTGGACTGTCAAAGCCAGTTTTTAAGGCCAGAGTGTGGCTCTCTGAGGTGGGCTGCCTGCAGAGCTGGTAACCTGAGGAACAAAGGCTTTTATGGAATGTCTGATCCACAGGTTTAAAGCCGTTGCTGTGATTGTAGATGACTGGCATTCCTGCTTGCCAGCTCGGCCATGTAACTGAGTTTATGTGCAGTCCCAGCTTAGCTCAGTTGTGAAATAGGATGCATCAGATTGTAACTGGCTCCCCTAGCTCACTGCTAATCGATGGGAGCTGTGTGTGAGCATTACCCTTAATGTCCCCACTGCCTGACAGCAAAACCCCCAGTCTGTTTGTGCACAGCCACTGGGGCTGTTGGGGTTGTTCAGGCACTTAAAGGTAGGCTCGTTAAGCAGCTTGGTCAGGCGTTGAGCACAGTGTGGAGTGAATAATGGTTAGGATGTATGCTGTGCACATCTCTACTGACACAGATTAACACTTATTCCCACCATTCTTTGTCTTTGTGCTGCTGCAGTAATGTTTTATAACTTCTCCTTCAGGTCTGTGAGTTTCAAATTAGCAAGACTTTTATAATGAGTATGAACCACTGCTTGTCTTTATATTTTGCAGTTTTTAAAAGATGCCTCTATCTGTAAATCCTTTTGCAATTAATTCATAGGGAGACACAGAAAATTCCAGGTTTATTTGATATATCAAATCTTTGGGAAGGTCTTTGGGAAGAGAATGCACTGCCCTGTGAAGGAAAGGTTTCTTTTTTCTGAAGCATTCTTGCATTAAGCTGATGTCTTCTGCCATATGACCATATCTGCGTTGGTCTCTGCAGGTCAAATTGGTGCAGCACACCTACTCTTGCCTCTTTGGTACATTCCTGTGCAACAATGCGAAAGAAAGAGGAGAAAAACACACTCAGGAACGGACCTGTTCTGTCTGGTCTTTGCTGCGGGCAGCAAACAAAGCCTTCAAGAATCTGCTCTACTCCTCCCAGTCAGAATCTGTACGTATCCTTTCTTACCCTCTCATGAGAGGCTCTGTCTCTCAGGGACTCTCAATCCGATGCTCTCAGCAGTGTGGCCCACAGTGAACACCCATCCTGTAGCAGTGGGACATGGCAGGTCACTCACCACGAGTGCAGTGCAGGGACAGTGCACCCTTCTGGAAACACCTCAGCTCTCCTCTTCGATATTTACAGCTGGATGCCTCTGTTCAGTTTTACGTTTCAGGTCCTGCCTCAGGTCTGCTTGTATTTGAGGAATGTCAGGTGCAGCCTCAGAAATTTCTCTGTGCTGGAAACATATTTTGTTACTAACGTTTCTGTGTTTGACAGAGAGAACAAAGCCGTGTCAGAGGAGTGTCATGAAATGACAAACAAACCCAGACACTATTTAGATTTAATGTAGATGCAGAAAATGTAACTAGAATCATTTGGCATATTTGTGTTTCTTGTAATACTTTCACTGAAGCTTCCCATCCAGGAAAGGTTGCAGTTACCTTCTTTTGTATTGGATGGAAGGGATTTGGAGCTGCACTGTGGTAGGCATGGCATGTAAACAGCCAGTCATCAGAGATCACGGTGACAAGGGTAGCAAAGGCTCTTATAAATATTTAAATGCTTTTGGTAATGAAACATAGACACCAAAAACCCAGCTGTAAGGGCTGTGCCGTGGTTTTGCATGTGAAGGATGCAGCTTATGGTTGTTCCTTAAGAGGAAAATTAAAACTTGGCTTAGCAGGAAAGAATTTGTCTGCATTTGCTATGAAAGGATGAATTCAGTATTCACATCAGCCCTCTGTCTCTGCCCGTCTCCTCTGGACACCACACCTGCAGCCTGTGCTCAGTCTGCGTGCAGATCCATCTGTCATGGTGACAGGCAGCATCACAGGGAGCCTTTCAAGACTTCCCAGCCTGGCGTTGCCATTAGCAGTGGCTGTGATGGCTGAAAGCATGAGGCACTGCAGATAAAAACAGACTGTGAGGGCTTCTGGAGCTGTGGGTGCGTTGAGTGCTCCCTGAGCACAGCAGTGAGCTTAGCCAGGAGGAGCTCAGCACCTGCAGCTCAGGCAGTGCAGCCAGAGAGCTGCTGTGGCCCTGGGCTGCCTTCACCTGCTGCACTGCACGTGGGGTCTAGGTGGCTTGGGCCGTGCTCTTGGTAAATGGCTCACCATACTAAACTAACTGGGATAAACTGTGTGTGTTCTTAGAGTTTTACTAATTTCCTATCTTGTATTCATTTCTTCCTTGTTTTACTTCAGTGTTGAAAAGGTGCCTCAGTGATGTGGGCACATCTGTTCTAAAACTGTGGTCGTTAAGAGCAGCAGTCCTCAAACTGAGCTGCCCCACATCCTCCCTCTGAACCCCTTGGCTGCTCTCTGCTGCTCCCTGCTTTTCCTAAAGAAAGCTGCTTGCAAAAACAGTGAAATTGATAGAGAGACTCAAGGCGTTCTTGAATGCAGACATAGCAGAAAGCATGTTGCACAGTCAAGGAATCCCTTTCAAGAGCAGGCTGCCTGTTCAGCAGAAGTATTTCTACATGTACTTAATTTTTCACATGTGAGTGCTTCCTTTAAAGACGGGCTTAGCTTTGATGAATTGGAGCCCTAGAAAGAGGCTGTGAGTTCAGCTCTCGTGTGGCACGCTGTCATACAAAGCACAGGAAAGCTCTGCTATGGGCTGCTGATTTCCTCTGTGCTTCAGCTTGCCCAGCAGCATTATTGAGGTGTGGATTCACACAGTGCAGTTGGCAGGAATTCATTCACGGGAAGTTGGAAGCCAGCACTGTTAGGCCTCAAGCTCCCTCTGAAAGAGAAGATCATTACGTATCCAAGTGTAGCTGATTAAAAGTGCCGTAGCTGCTCTCAGGCCTTCTGAACTATCTCGAGATCTGAGACAGCCTCCCAGCTGCAAATCTGAACAACAACCCAATCAGCTCTGAACACATTTTTACACCCTGGCAGCAAGCAGTTGCAATTTCTGAACAACTGTGTGTGTTTTTCTCTCTCAGGTGCTGTACCCAGTGTGCCATGTGCGTAATTTAATGCTCTGGAGTGCTGTTTACCTGCCCTGTTCTTCCCCCTCTACGCCTGCTGATGACACCTGTGCCCCATACCCTGTTCCAGGCTCTAGCCCTGAAGATCAGCCCCTGGGCAGGTGAGCCTAGAGCTCAGAAATCCCATCCTGTAAAGTAAGATCAATAAGGAATATTGTGGGATATTAAGAGGAGAATACTTGTGGGAGGGAAGTGTTTCTCACAGGCGTGTTTGTGGGCTGTTTGACTCACTGACCCAAAGCAGTCTTTCCTTGTTTCAGGTTTGAAAGCTATTAAGTTTCAGAGGTCAGAGCATAACAAATGTATGGAATCTGAGAGATTAGGAAATGAGTTGAGCTGTGGGCATTGCCTGGCTTTAGTGGATATAAGCTTTTATTTGGCTGACTTGAATTTCAGTTCTTTTCCTGTTGCATAACTTTCTTTGCTTTGTGGGGTTTTGTTTTTTTTGTGAAGTGATTCTTTGCACACGTTAATTAGGAGGTGTGACCAGACTGTGAGCATCTGTGCTTTGTGGTAAAGGGATCTGGGGATGTTTGAAGTCTGATTCAACAGATTTTCCTACAGGCAAACAACAAAGTTCTGAAGCAGCTTTTCCCTACAGATGGTCCAAATGTGCTCTGGATAATACTGTGCAGGCGTCCCACTCGTAAAGGGGAGGTTTTAAGCCACAGTCTCTGAACTTAGAAAAAAGAAAAAACAGCAACAAAAAAAACCCACCCTGATTTGTCATTTGTCATTCTGATTGCTCGTACTTGTGCAGGTTACCAAAGACAAGATCCTTTGACAATCTGACGACAGCCTGTGACAGCAGCGTGCCTACGACCAACCGGCGCAGCAGCGACCCCAGCCTGAATGAGAAGTGGCAGGAGCACCGCAGGTCCCTGGAGCTGAGCAGCCTTGGGAACCCTGGGGATGATCCGTTTGATGGGGATGGCCTGAGCAAGCAGGGCAGAGCTCTGATGGGAGCGGAGCTCTCCGTAGCAGCTGGCGTGGCGGAGGGGCAGATGGAGAACATTTTGCAGGAGGCCACTAAAGAGGAGGTCGGTGTGGAGGAGCACTCGAGGGGCAGCCTAGAGACTGCAGGTAAAGGGGATGAGATTGCCTTGCATGTGGAGAAGAGAACTGAAAATCTACACGGCTATGTCAGTGAACTGTGTGAACAGGCTGAGGACAAAGGTATGGCAATGAACAATCCACGTCCGCTTGCACAAGGTGCTTGTGAGCTTAAAGGACGCCAGGAGGAGCACGCTGATCTCAGTAACACTATCCAGAAGTTACCTCAGGTGAAAGGACTGCAGACTGTTCCTTTGGAGAGCTTTGTAAATAGAGACACTCAGAAGAATGTGGAGGAAGGTGTGGGCAAGCCTGAAGGAGAGGGAGAGAGCCTGCACAGCGTATCACATGCCGGCCTTCTGTTCCCTCTGACGAGCCTGCAGGAGGTGAGAACATCCAACATCGAGAGTTCCACAGAGACCTTAACAGAGAATGAAGCCAAGCAAGAGCTGATTCCCAAGGATCCGTGCCACAGAGCCCATCTGATGGACAACAGTGCTGACGAGCTTTCGCGACTTACTGAAAACAGGCCGGAGGGGGAGAGCGTGATAGAGCTTCAGAAACTGGGCACAAAAGTGCACAGGACTGCTGGCAGGGGCAGCGCGCGCATCCCGATGCCTTCCCCTTGTGCCTTGCCTTTAGGTGAATGTAAAGACGAGGTGGTGTGCAATGGAGAGCTGGAGCCTGAGAACAAGGCGGCGGAGAAGCCTGCAGGGCTCGGCGTGGTGCAGAAATACCAGGCGACAAACGGGCACTGTGTGAACGGGGAGGACGGCAGGATGAAGATCTCTCTGAGCCGGCAGGTCTCGGCGGCGAGCTGCGGCTCTGCGCAGTTTCACTTCAGGAACCTGCACCAGAAATGGATGATGGCTCATCTCGGGAAGCAGCAGGCGGCCGGCAGCCCAGACCAACCTGCCAGGAGCCACCTGGATGACGACGGGATGCCTGTGTACAGCGATGTCATCCAGCAGCGCCTGCGCCAGATTGAGACTGGGCATCAGCAGGAGGTGGAGACCTTGAAGAAGCAGCTCCAGGAGCTGAAAAGCCGGCTGGAGAGCCAGTTCCTGAACAGCTCCCTGCGTCTCAACGGCGATTACGGGGACGAGGTGGTGAGTGAGGTGGGGGCTGGGCCGCTGCTGGCACTGCGGGCTGCTTGTGTGCATCTCCCCTTGTTGGCAGGCAGGGATTGGTGTGGCCCTACAGGGTTTTGTAAAACCCTCGAGGTCTTTCTGAGGAGCGCGCAGGTGATCAGAGTGCTTGATGAGCAGCATTACTGATGATGAATGGTTCCACTGTGTTTCAGTTTGACCAAGAAAATAGCAGAGGGTTGCTTCAAGCAGCATGTTTCAGTGTATTTGCATCTAGCTGGGCATACTGCATTGGCTTCACTCCGAAAACCCACGTGCTGTGCTTTTGTTTTCATTCATGGGAAGGACATTTTCCTAAGGACATCAGTGTCGTTTACTGGGGCAGGAACGCAGCTCTTATCCCTCGGTGCTTTGCATGCAGAGGGTTGGAAAGGTGCAGCAGTGGTTGCTCTGTTAGCTCAAAGCCAAGAATTGGAAGCGAGGTAAAAGAAAAGAAGGGAGAGCTGTGAGGACACAGGAGGAGGAGGCAGGGGGCACGAGAAGGGAGGTGAGGACATGCAGGAGAGTCTTTAGGTGCGTTCACACAGTGTTGGCCTGGAGTTCCCAGGTTGATGCAGTACTCAAGAAAAATTTCCTATGTATGCATTTAATTTGCTTTATGTGCCTTCAAGACTGGGAGAGGGAAGGATTTGGAAGAGCTTTCCAACTTGAGCCTGTTTAGTTTCCTGTTGTGCAGAAGCAGCAGAGGTGCTGGACAGTCCCAGGACACCTGTTGAGAAAAATGCAGTTATGTCAGAGAGAACAGCACCCAGAGCTCCTCCTGAGCATCCATCTCAGCTGGGTCTCTCTGAGGTTGGATGTGGCTTTGATTCCTTGATGGACGTGATGCTTTGGCGCAGTTTGTTGCACTGCGCTGTGTAAAGGCCTTCTCCAGCCAAGTGTGGGGCTGGGATGTCTTCTGGTGTCACTTGTTTTAAAACCTGATCTCTGCTTTCTGTTTTTGCCTCATCTGGCAGTAGAGGACCGTCTTTGTAAATCCAGAGGTTCTCAGGCACAAAAATATGTAAGATTTTTTTCCCCATAGTTTTATTTAAGCCAGTTAAACTGCAGTGCTGCCAGCCCAGGCTGTAGTAAGGCAGCGTTATTCCCCGTCCACGTGGCTCAGGTGCTGGCTTTCCCATGAGTGATTCTGCATGTGTTTTCCAGATCTTTTTCAGACAGCAGGGCATGTATGCACCACCAGTATTTATTTTGAAAATGAAAGCCTTGGGAAAGAAACACAGCCATGAAATTGGAGCCACAGATAGCAGCTTCTTGGTTTCTCGCTCCAAGTGTTGTCAGGACTCTATGCTAGCACTGGAGAAAGCAGATTTGAAATCCACTCTAGCTCACATCAGAGGGCCAAAAGCTGACCTGGTGGATTTCCTCTTGTTTGCAGCTCACCTCTCACAAACTGCTTCAGCTTGCTCCGTTTTGTCCCACACGGTGCTGGTTTGCCTGCGCTGTCACACGGGGAGCTGGCAGATGTTGGCACCTCCCTTGCCGTGCACACACAGCCTGCTCTTCCTCAGCAGGAGGCTCCTCCCCACTGCTCCCCACAGCTGGCCGCCTTTGATCTGTGTGGAAGTAGGATGACGGGATGGTTCTGTTCAGCTGTGTTTGTTTGCCAACAGACTTCAATACCCGACTCGGAAAGCAATCTGGATCAGAACTGCTTGTCTCACTGCAGCACAGAGATTTTCTCTGAAGCCAGCTGGGAGCAGGTGGACAAACAGGACACAGAGGTACAGACTGAATCCCTTCAGATCACTTACTGTTCTGGTAGGAGGGGCCGTTCATCTCACTCAGATTATCCACACGCTGTGCTCGTGTGCCACGACGTTTCGCTCACCTCCTGCCCTGAGCTCCGTGTCTGTGAACCCGCTGCTGTCTGTGGGCACTTGGTGGAGCCGGGGCTGAGCTGAGGGAGCGTGGGGAAGCCTCACAGCCTGGGCGCCTCTAGGGCACAGAGAGCAGCAGGGAGCTGGACTTCGTGACTTCCTTTGTTTGCCTGAGGGCAGCTCAGCAGTCAGGTCTCAGGGGGGAAGTTTCGGTCTCTGTCAGTGTTGCGAACGCTGAGTTTCTGCTTTTAAATGGAACAGGCTTTGCTTGGGCCGTGGGAGCTGAGGTGTGATGGTTGCTAACCTGACAGGTTTGTCTTCTCCCCCTTGCAGGTGACACGATGGCTCCCCGACCACCTGGCCGCTCACTGCTACGGCTGCGACAGCGCCTTCTGGCTCGCCAGCAGGAAGCACCACTGCAGGTATCTGAGCAGCAGGGAGGGATGGGGGCCAGGCCAGCACTCGGATCTTCCCTCTGCTCTTAGGCCAGGAAGGGCTCCGTTTTGCCTCGAAGTTCCTTAGTGAAGGATGGGTGTCGGGGTAGGAGTGGGAGCTCCTGCAGGAGCCAAGGGCTCTGAGGCAACAGGACAGCTCCTGTTCGGCTCCAGCTCACTGCATCTGTGCATGAGGAGCCACGCTGGGTATCTGTTACGCCCTGGCCCAGGTGGATCCCAGCGTTTTCTCTCAAGCTGGATTTGGAGACAGCTGGCTCTTTAGCTTAAGGTGATGAAAATAACTTAAAAAATAGTCGTGTGTCTCCTTTGCACTCAGTAGGGGCCTTTGGATTGGATCGTTTGGAAATCTGAAATTCTGTCTTAGTTTCATTTCTATTAAATCCCTATTCCTGATTTCTGGCCATGAGAAAATGATCACGAAAACTGTCATTGAAATAAATGGCAGCTACCACGTTTTGATGCTTCGGTGCTTTTTGAAGTAGTGAAGAATTGAAAGCATCCTGAGCCCCCTCTGAACTTTGCTTCACTTAAAATTCATGTGAAGATAAACAAACCAGGGAAGAATGAATGAGGAATTGAACGAGATGGATTTTTTTTCAAGTTTCATGTTCACTGTGTGTGCAGATGTAATTGCTAAGCATCCTTACACACATCTGAGGGGTTCTATAGGAGTTCAGAGAACACTTCTGTGTGTCTCTTGTGGTACCTGTGGTGAAGTGCCCCCATCCATCACCGTCTCCCTGCCCGTGGCTCCCCTAGGCCTGCTCCCACTTTGCTCCCACATCGCAGTTTTGCAGGCCTGGATTCTGGGGAGCTGAACACCTCCAGCACCACGAGGAGCTGAGATGGATGCAGGGTCTGGAGTCCTGTTACAGGATTCCTTTGGTGTCTTTGTTCTGTGCTTTCCAATGCCTGATGTGGGTTGGCCAGGCCGTCCAGGTGAGCTCTCGTTCCTCTCGCAGAGGAAGGGCTGCCATCCCAGCTGACAGGAAAACCAAGCATTTGCCTTGTGTGCGTTGTTACAAAGCACTGGTGAGTCTGCTCACCTGCCTGTCTGAGGGTGAGAGTGGCTTAGAAGCACATTTCCAACGTGAGCAGGATAAAAGTACCCAGCTTCCTTCATTGCCAGTTTGCTTCTTTTGCTGTTCCCTCTGAGCTCTTCCTTCCCTCCTTGCAGGGACACTGAACGTGTTGATCAGATCTGGTGAGCATTTACAGCAGCCTCTGCCTGTTGTCTGTCTGCATTTTCTCAGTAACTTCTCCAAACTAACTCAGGCTCTTCCCCCTGTTTTTCACCTGGCTGGAAAGCTCCAGAAATAAGCTGTGGGTGGCTGCTGGATGCTGAGATTGATAAAACAGGCTTCTCTTTCCACAGGAGGGCACTGAGGCTTGGCTTCTGGTAGCTGAAACTGTGGTGTGGATGACACTAACTGTCACCATCAGCAATGGTGTGTTTGAGTAACAGAATGCTGCAGTGCTAACTGGGAAGAGGTTAACCTTCAAGTTCAGCCATTTATCTTAGCTTCCATTCTTTCCCTTTTTGCATTAATCCTGGGAGGTGCCAATGTGTTAGCAAGCCATGCAAGCGTGTGCATGTTGATGGAAAAGGATTGATGCTGATTTTGGAAGGACTGTGGCAATAAGAGGTAATGCAGGGCTGGGAGAGAGGTGGTGTCTCACAAAATGGGTGAACGTGGATAATTTAGTGCAAGGAGCTCTTGGTGGTGTGGCTTTAAGTCGCCTGCCCTCCAAGGGGAGAGATGTCTAACATCTCCAGATCCCTCGTGCACAGCAGTGGGGTGCACAGAAAGCTGCTCAGGGCAGAGCAGTTCCAGAATGCTGTCACAGAAAGACAAAAGGACAACAAACAAGTGTTCTGTTAGGAAGCTGGTGAGCTGCAACAGACGGATAATGGTTTTCCAGTCCCTCTGGTTGTTTCTGACCCGATCCATCTGCAGTAAGTTTCTGTGGATAACTGCTCTTTGAACAGCAGCAATGGGAGCTGACAGCACAGATCACACCTCAGCAATTGGTTTCACTGCTGCTGGCTTTTCTAGCAGTAATTTCTGACACATTCCTGAAGGCTTCCAGCCCGCAGCCCCAAGCTGGCCATCGTGACGTTCTGCTGCTCGGGTTGTGGCACTGAGATCCGCAGCTGCTGTGCAGAGCTGCAGAAGTCAGCCCTGTGAATGGGAAATGGCATTTCTCTGCTGGCTGTTCCCCATCAGTGCCCAGCATCTGGGAGCCCCATCTCTTGGCAGCGAAGCATTAATCGAAGCTGCTGGGTGTAAGCAGAGCTTCCTGTCACTCTTGGCAGCAGCAAATCTTTTCCTGCACAAATCGGTAGTGGCGTAAAGTCCCGATGCCAAAGAGTCGATGAGAAGGGAGCGGGGCCTGGAGGTGAACGGCAGACTGCAGGGCTGCGCCGGGAGCCGTGAGCGGCCTGCCGAGGCGTGCAGCATGCAGGGAGGGCTGCAGGAGCAGCAGGGGACGCTTCCCACACTTCACCTAACCCTGTGAGAGCATGCAGTGGGTGCCCGCCAGCAGTGCATCCTGCGGCACAGCCTGAGCATGGCGCCGTGCACCGCGTGCTCCTTGCCGACAGCATTGCTGTGAGCGACGTGTGGTGCTGGGAACGGGGCAGGGCAGCACGGCTGGGAGGACTGCATCACCTGTGCTGGGTTCTGTGCCGGTTCCGTGCTGAACCCTTCCGGCAGCGCACTTGAAAGAGGAGCAGCCGCTGTGTGCCGTGGTTTCCCTCACATCCTCTCTGGTGTGGAGCTCTGCAGGGCGGGCTGTCTGTGTGTCCTGGTGCTTAGGGACAGACAGCACCGCAGGTAGCACAACTCTACAACCGTTAACCTCATCCAACTGCTGCTAATGTTGTCTTTTCCATTTCTCCTCTGTTCCTGACACAAGGAATTGCGGAAACGTGTTCTGCTCCAGCTGCTGTAACCAGAAGGTGCCGGTTCCCAGCCAGCAGCTCTTTGAGCCCAGCAGAGTCTGCAAATCGTGCTACAGCAGCTTGCACCCGAGCAGCGCCAGCCTGGATCTTGAACTGGACAAACCCATCACTGCCACGTCAAACTAAAGGCCCGGCCGGGAGGCGGCGCCCCTCCGTGGCAGAGGTGTGTGATCCTGTGACCCCAGTGGGCCGAGACCGGAAGGACGAGGGGCGAGGAGCTGCTCAGCGGGACGGAGCTCACCGTGCTGCTGCAGTGCGGGCATCTCCTCTTCCAGCCGTTCCCTTTCCTTTCTGTCCTCTCCGTGTGTGTGCGTGTACGCGCCTGTGTGTGTGTGTATATAATAATATATATGTTTGCTTGTTTGCTGGAAGGTCGTACAGGCGGGAAGGGAGCTGGCACCAGAACCAGGTCTCCCTTTTGTATTTCACTGTCCCACTGCTGAACTGCGTTGCAGACAATTTGGTGGAGGAAAGGAGACGAGGGGAATCGGCGCAGGCGGTGCGCGAGGTGAATCGCTGCAGCCCCAGCGCCGGTGCTTTCAATCACTCCTGTTACTTCCAAACAAGAAACTGCTGTTTGGGAACTTGTTGCTGCTAGAAGAAGTGGGAATCTCTTTCCCAAGAGAGCACTCTGCCTCTCTGTTCTTAGAGTGCGTGAAGGGGATCGCGGGTTGTGCTGCCGCAGCCCCGTGCTGCTGGCTGGGCACAGCTGGGCAGTGCTGGCTGCAGGAGCTGCGGGTGCTGGTGAGAGGTGAGGAGGGGCTGAGGGTGGTGTCACACCGACGCCTCTATCTGAAGGAGTGTAATTGCAATTCCTTATTTAAAACCGAGTGGGGAAGGAGCAGCCCTCTGATTTGTGTCCCTGTCCCACCGTAGGCCGCTTTGCTCGGCGCAGAGCTCCTTATCTGCACTTTGGGGAGGGCGCTCAGAGCAGCAGCACTTCCAGCTGTGCTGCGCTGCACTGCTGCTGCATTTGGTCCCTGAGGAACGCGCTGTGCCCAGCCTTCTGCCACGGCTGCTCCTTTTCCAGTGTGCTCCAGACAGGGAGGAGCTGCCTGAGGGTTCTAGCAGGGCTCTCGCAGTACATCGCGATTCCCCTCCTTCTGCCCCAGCCTGGGTTGCTTTCCGAGTCACCTCAATCAGGTGTGGATCTCCTCAGTGTCCGTTCTCACTGAGCGTTAGGCCCTCAGCCCCTTCTCCCTTGTGGCAGAGCAGTGTTGCTCGGTGCAGCCGGGCAGCAGGGATGCAGCTGGCCACGTCGTGCTCTGCAGCGTTTGCCTGGCCCGGCTCGCACCTCCTGCACTGCTCTGCAGGATAAAACAATCCTGTTGAGTACCTGAGAGCTGAAAGAAATAACGAACAATCCTTGGGAAGGGAGCGCTGCCCTTCCCTGCAGCGTCACAATCTGCTCTGCAGTGTCAGACAGAGGCCATCTCGTGAAGTCTGGTGGGGAAAGAAGTGACACAGAGCTTCCCGTGCCGGCGTTGCTGCTCTCTGAGCTGAGGTGTGGGGGCAGAAATGGAGGCGTGGGGGCAGAAATGGAGGCGTGGGGGCTGTGCTGGCACAGGAAGGGGCCTGGGAGCAGCAGGAGAGAAAAGCAAAGAAAAAGCTGGGTTCTGCCATGGCATTTTTGTCTGTTTTCTCCTGACCTGAGGGCGCTGTGCGGGCAGAGCTGGGGCTGCTGCGGTTGGATGTTGGATGTGGAGCAGAGGCTGTGAGACGACAGCGACGTGCGGCGCGTCAGAAACACGCGTGGGTTCTGCAGTTGTAAGGACAGGTGCCAAGAGGTTTGATACGGGTTTCTGGGCTCTGTGATGTACAGTGTGAATAAATGCTTGCAGCTCTTAGTCTTTTTTTGATCGACGAAGCACTTTTTTATTAATATTATTTTTTCTTTGTATGTAAAGGAGGAAGCAGTATCTCTCCATAGCTGTACATATAACCTGTCTCTCCTGCAGAGAGTAAAGTGCTCCTATATTTTTCATTTTTGTCAAAGCGAGAAGTAAATACTTTAGAATTGTTAAATATATAAATAAAAGTGAATAAAGTTTAGCGTTTTTGCATGGGAGCATTCGCTGACACACGGCCCAGTTCTTTGCCTTTCCTTCCTGCCTCCCAGCAGCAGGGCTGGACGCAGCAGGGCTGGGCAGAGCAGCCTCCCTTGGGTTCTCGCCTTTCTCCCCATAACTCAGCCCCTCCTTCAGCGCCTGCTGCCCCTCTCGCCTTTGGAAGAGCGGATTTTCCTCTCCTCCCCCTGCAGGGTCATGGCTGTGCTCTCTCACACCTGCGTGCTGGGCGACCTCAGGGCCGGCGGTGGTATTTACAGCTTCAGGAAGAAAATACAGCAACTGTTACAGACGCGCAGAGGAGCAGCGGGTTTCAATTACCAGATTTTACGGAGCTCCTCTTGTGTTGAGTCACTCCTCAGTGGTGCTGTGCAGCTGGGAGCCCTGTGCTGAGCCGCCTCAGAGCAGCGCCCGCAGAGCTGCTCCCCGCTGGATGCTGGGCACGGCACAGGTGAGGCAGTGTTTGCTTTGGTGGAGCAGCGTGGGATTCCGATCTCCAGCGTGCGTCAGAAGTGATGTCAGCATCACTTGCAGCACGGCTGTGACACACGTAGGAAATGAATAAGCTTGCTGGAGGTCAGAAATGATTTTTCTTTCATTCTGGTACTGACGTGTCCGGCCTTGATGGGATCTGAGTGATGGGGTTGATGCGATTTACCCCCTCGCAGGGCTGTTACGGAGCAGCACTGGGCAGCGGCGCTGCCTTTGATGTGCAGTGGTGACTGCTTTTGTTGCCCACCTCTGCTGCCCGTGGAGCTGAGTGAGCAGGGATGGGGCGTCCAGCCAGGAGCAGTGCAGCAAAGCCTCTGCTTTGGGTCACCTTTAAGCACAGCAGAGCTGCTCTGGGGCAAGGGAAAAAGAAAGAACCAAAAGCACGACTTAACCAACCAGTGAGCACTGATGGTTTTGTGATGGCAGCGCGGGCAGGGAGGAGGTGAGCAACTTCTGGTCAGAAAGACTTTGTTTCATCTGGGCAGCGTGAGGCAGGGCTGCAGCTCCTGTGGAGGCACCACCAAGAAAACGCCATCGGAGCACAGGCAGCACTGGAGAGCAGCTCTGTGAATGAGAAAAAACAAAGATTTCTGTTATAAATCTAAATAATTTCAGTTTTTCGTTGCTTTTCTTTATAACGAACGTCAGTGAGCACTCAGCTGCCGCTTCGAGTCACTGATTCTGACAATGATTGGATCACTCAGCATTTGTCTAAAACACAGCAAGAGCATCCCGACATCTCCCGCTGGCTGCATCTGCACCGGCAGTAAGGCAGCACCAGGGGGTGCTGGGGGGGCTTTGCCGTGTGCCCTGATGGCAGCGTCCGCCCGGTGCCTGCAGCTCCCCGAGGCGGCTCGGATCGCTCCGTGCACGGCCGCAGGGCGCCCTCCTCCCCTAAGGAATGGGGTTGGCTTCCGATCAAAGCGCTCAACAAACCGAGCTGACGAGTGGCGACTGGGGCTGGAAATGTTTGATACCTTTGTGGATGATCTGCACGAGGGGATTGCGAGCCCAGCAGCAGCTCTGCAGGTGCCACCGTGCTGGGAGGAAGTGTGGATGTGCCTGAGGGCAGGAAGGCCCTGCAAGGAACCGCGGGGACCTTGGTGTGTGTCCAGGGAAGGGCTGTGGAGCTGTGCGGGGTCTGGATGCGTTGAGTTCTGACAGGGAATGAGGGAGCTGGGATGGCTCAGCCTCAAGAGGAAAAGGCTCAGGGGAGACGTTATTGCTGCAGCTCCTGGAAGGAGGTTGTGGTGAGGTGGGGATCGGCCTCTGCTCCTGGGTAACAGCAGCAGGACGAGTGGTGATGGCCTCAAGTTGCACCATGGAAAGTTTGGGTTGGATATTAGGAACAATTTCTTCTCCAAAAGAGTGGTGATGCAGAGGCTGCCCAGGGAGGGGGGTGGGGGGGTCACCGTCCCTGGAGGCGTTCAGGAACCATTGGGGGTGTGGTGCTGAGGGACACGAGCAGTGGGCACGGTGGGGTGGGGACCTCAGTGGTCCTTTCCAACCTTCATGATTCCATGGTTCTATAAGTGGGGCTGCTGTGGATGTTTGTCTCAAAGCTGCATCGGTGCTCTGGGTCCAAACGCTTGTGCAGACCCAGCCACCGCTGCCCTGGAGACGGAAATACCTCTGTTCAGCAGCGACCCCCATCGGGGGCTCTCCGTGCTCCCTGCAGCTGCCTCGGGTGCAACCTGAGCGTCTCCGTTACCTGTCTGAGTCACAGCCTGCTGCCCGCGGGGCTGCCGTCGTACACCAGGGCGCCGTCCAGGGACGATTCCTCTGCGCTGTAGCTGCCGTTCCTCAGCTCTGCAGCCGCAGGGCAGAGTTCCTGCCTGCACCACCTGAACACAGAACGCGGCGGTTTGTCCGAGCCGTGCTGCGCACGCAACGCCGGCTGCTCCCGAGGGTTTCCCCGAGTTGGACGACTCTCGTCGCTGCGGGGTGGAGATTCCCCAGGGTGCAGGGAATGGCAGCGATGCTGCTGGGAACCAACCCACAAGGCTGTTGGTCTCCACCCGGGATGTGAAGTTCGGGTCTGACCGCAGCGTGGCCCCCATGCAGGCAGAGCAGCGCTGCGGCACGACAGGATACCTAATGTGGTCAGAGCCAGGGGCTTTGCTTACCTCTGAGCGGCGCACACATCAAGGCGGGAGGAGCCAGGCCGAGCCGCGTGCTCAATTAGCAGAGCTCCTGCGAAAGGACGCGGCGCGTCAGTGCTGCTGGGCTTCGGGTGGCTGAGCTGCTCAGCACTGCTTCCCGTGCTGAGCTGCCTCCGCTGGAAAGGAGGTGGGGACAGCAGGCCGAGCAGCCTGAGCTGTGGGTGTCCCTGTTTGCTGTGGGGGAGTGGGACCAGACGGCCTTAAAGGTCCCTTCCAACTCAAGCTGTTCTATGATTGCACGACGGCTTTCTTTAAAACTCTGCTCCTGAGCTGGAGCGAAGCCCGGGGACAGCAGGACAGCTCACAGCCCTCCTGCTCTGAAATTCACCTCTGTCCTCCCTACCTGCGTAGATTCTTGCTAAGGAGTAGGAGAAGTCTCTTGCCGCCAGCTCCATGGGCGCTGCCCCTTCGGAAGCAGCTCCTCGGCAGAACCGTGCGAGGCGGCCGGCGGCATCCTGCACAGACTGCGCTGCGGCCTGCAGCTCCGCGCTGCTCCAAGCCGACTCCAGTTTGTTCTGCAAAACAATCACGGGAGGCGCGTTGACCTCCTGCGTGGCACCGAGGCCAACGAGGGGTCGGCTCCGAGCACCCGAGGGGCTGCGGGTGTCCCTGCTCACTGCAAAGTGCTTTCCTCTGAAACGAGGCCCTCGGCGCTGTGCCGCACCTCTGCAGCGCTCACATCCCTCCCTGCAGCGAGGCTGAGGGCAGAACGGGAACACGTTTGGATTTACGCTGTTTGTCATTCAGTCTCCTTTGAGGCCGTTCACGAACCAACACCTACCAGCACCTGCAGCGTTGCTGCCGTTCCCCCAGCAGCACAGCAAAGCAGCGGCGCTCAGCCTGCGCAGCCAAACCTGTTCTGTTTTCTGTACTGCTTCTACAACGACACCCCAGGCAGTGCTGCCTGCCCTACAAGGACGGCACAGTGCTGTTCTGCTGTTCTGCGCTCGAGGCAAAGCAGCACAGGAGCGCTCGCAGGAGATGCTGTACGAATACAAAAAGCCCATCATTAAAGGGCCAAGACAAAGTGCAAAGAACCCTCCGAGCCACAGAATGCCCATGAGGTGGTTTAAAAATGGATCAAAGTCCCCAGGGGCACAAACGTATCCCCAGCAGCTTGGGTGGCAGCCAGCGCTGCGCCGTGCTGCAAACAGGCCCAGGCCACGCTGCCCTGGCTGTGCTCCCAGGCCAAGGGTTGTCTGAATGGTTTTCAGCAGCACAGCGATCAGCGGCAGCGTGGAGAGCATCAGAACGGGGCTGGAAGCACAAGTGTCAGCTCTGTTGTTCTGTGGGCTCTCACCTCAGTAAGCTGTGCTGATTTCCTGCTGTGCTGAAGCTGTGGTTTGCAAAGGAGCTGAAACCACACAGCCCAAACTCTGCAGACCCCTGCATTGCGTGTCCCAGTCCCAACTGTTCCAATCAACGTAAGCCTGTAGAGGCCAGCTTCTTTCCAGGCCATTTTTAGAGCCTACCACCCTCTCCTCCACTCTCTTGAGTGTCAGACTGAACTGCTTGTTAATTAGTGGCTCTGCTCATTAGTCCTGCTTATGAGCAAACGCAGTTTTCTTGTTTGGTGGTCACATTGTTTGAGGCATTTTTCCATCAATGGCAGTTGTACGAGAGGATGTTAAGAACCCGTGCTGGAGCTCAGTGCCCAGCTGCAGCCCTGTGAGCAGTCAGGTCTGGTGAATGCGTCTGGGAGGAAGCGCAGGACGGAGCTGCTCCCTCCAGGATGCACCAGAGCCCACAGCTGAGCTCGTGTCAGCGCCACGCTCTGCACTTCACTTCCCATTCTCCCTTCTGCTGGAGCTGTGCTGAACAGAGCCCACAGAGGCACCACCTCTGCCCTGTGCCCCAAAGCAAACTCAGTGCTGAAGGCAGAGAAGCAGCCCAGAACTCTCACTTCTTCTCGTGGGGGATGAGAAAGTACATCTGCAGGTGCTGAAATCCAGCAGCTTAGGATTCCCAAGCACAGCTGTGTGCTAATGTGGTCTGAATTGCTCTACCTCAGTGAATAATCCAATTCCTGAGGGAACATCCTCTCATGTGGTGATCGTGCCTTCTAGGCTGCTTTGTGCGCCCCTTGATGGCACGGATTCTCATTTGTCTTCAGGAAATTTGAGCTTCTTTGAACTCTCCGTGGCTGCCTTTGCCTGAGCGCCTTTAAAGGAGCAGCCTGTGGGTAAGGGCAGGGAGCTGCACCTCGAAGGAGGCAGCAGTGGGATTCCTTTGGCTCTTTCCATCTTTTCAGTGGGAATAAAAATAGAAAGTCACAATGCAGAAGGTGGCCCTGGAGAAGGTTTCAGATTTATCAGACTTGTGCTGCTTTTCC